TGACTTTACAATTTAAATTAAATGGTTTAGTTTTTTTTATATTTCTATACATGTCACTACGTTTGTATAGGTTAACTCCGGCCATGATTGTCATTGGCTCCAATGATGACCGCGAAACGCTGGAAAAACTCCGGACATTTTTTCGCGGTTTTTGGATTAGACTTTGGATTGTATTTATTGTCCTCCATTTACTGGTAAGTCAATGGGCAATCTCCTCTCGCAAATACAAGTAAAACAATACCTCTGTTACACTACTAACAAAATTGCCAAAAGAAATCCTCTACATCCAATCTAGTCAAGGGTGGAATTACATTTTTCATATACGTGATTAACCAGTACGTAATACATATCGATATCGCCACGTCGATAGCTTTCCGTCTCTAGTATATTCATGAGAATCGATTTATTTTTATAGGCCTATTCTGTGTACGGACATGCCAAGAATGTGTGTTTTATCTGTGTATTTGTAAAAATAAGCTAGTGTTGTCGATTTTTGTTTGTGTGAGACCATAGTGACACAACTCAATATTGCATTTGAGTGCAGTTGTTTGCTTCTAGTACTAGCCCCCCGCCTCTCGAAAAGTGGCAGAAAGTTATGTTCGATAAATAACGCTAATAGTGCCTACCGTCCTATATGCTCTAAGGCAGGTATGGGCAACCTTTAACATGTTGAGGGCCAAACTTTAGTATGCAAATAGGTTCGCGGGCCGCGTTTAAAAGTGCTTAATAAAATAATATCACAATGTTATTCTAGTACTAGTACAATTTATTTAAAAAATGAAATTTAAAAAAATGGTACAACATCATATCGGTAAATCGACAAATTTTCAATTGCTACAAACTACGAAAGTCAATCAATGAGACACTTGAGCTTAAATTTGGGAAACTAATTCATCGATATTTGGATTAATTCCACTGATACAAACACGTAAAGAATTTTCCAAATTATCGTCAGTCAGTCTTGTACGATTTGTGTTGATTTATTAATTTTCATCATCGAAAAGAACTGTTCGCATTTATCAGTACTGCCAAAAACACAAATCAATCTTCTTGCGAATTTTCTAAGCTGCGGAAAATTGTCTTCTAGGTATTTTTTGTAGAAATCGCACAACTCTACTTCTTCAAATTTAGATTTTAGGAGTGAGTTTTCTTGAATTTCGATCAACTCCATTTGTAAGTGTATTGGAGCATTTTGTACATTACTTTTTGTTGGATTTGCAAATAAACTGAAACAGTCTTCCATGTTTTTGAAATCGCTAAATCTGTTCGAAAATTGTTCCGACAGTAACTTGAGTTCTTCAGCATATTGAGCATAAGCAATATTTTCATACGTAGAGAGCGTGTCGAAATGGTAACTATTACCAGATAGCATCTGTGACTCCCACAAGCGCAGTTTGACCTGAAATGCTTTCAAATGGCTGCACAAATCATTTACTAACTGTCCTTGTTTTTGTAGTTTCAAATTTAAATCATTCAAATAGCCTGTTAGATCGACCAGAAATGCTAAGTCACATATCCATTTTGGGTCACTCAATTCAGATAGTGGTTTATCTTTTATTTTCATAAAGTCTGCTATCTCATTTCTAAGCTCGTAAAACCGTTTCAACATTTATCCTTTGCTCAGCCATCTGACTTCACAATAATATGTTACGTCGTTATATTCAGCGGATATTTCATCCAAGAACCCCTTGAACTGACGATGGTTAAGCCCTCGAGATCGAATAAAATTGATGGTTTTTTCTACCACATCCATAACATGCTGGAGTCGAATGGACTTAGAACACAAGTTCTGTTGGTGGATAATGCAATGAAGGACTATCAAATCATCTTTTTGCACATTTAATGCTGTTGCTTTTTCATTTAAAATTCCGATGAAACCTTTACGTAAGCCGACCATAGAAGGTGCACCATCAGTGCATACTCCCTTTAATTTTGACCATGGCAAGCCAAATCTTGTGAATACCTTTTGAACTTCATTAAAAATATCCTCCCCTGTAGTGGTTCCTTTTAGCGGCTGTAAAGCAAGCAATTCCTCAGTAACAGTGAACTCCTTATCAACACCTCGAATAAATATAGCCAGTTGAGCTGTGTCCGACAAATCCGTGCTCTCGTCTAATACTATGGAAAATCATTCAAAATCAGCCATACGGTCAGTCAATGTTGTTTTTATATCATTAGCCATCATTTCTATACGTCGAACAACGGTTCGTCTTGACAAACAAATTTTTTCAAATTCATTTTTCTTTTCAGGACACAAAACACTGCAAACTTCTAACATACACTCCTTAATAAATTCTCCTTTGGCAAATGGTTTTAATGCCTTTGCCAATTTTGAGCTAACTAGCTTTCACAACATTATCAAGTTGTGTTCTTTGTTTATGAAACATTTGTTGCTGTTTCTCCAAATTTGCTGTAAGCTTCTGGATTTTGTCTGTTCTTAATTGTCCTGTCAGTGAGTGTAGCGCAGTATGCTTAGTTAAGTAATGCCTCTTTATATTGAATTCTTTCATTACTGAAATGGATTCATTACACAGCAAACAAATAGGCTTACTATTGTGCAAAATAAAAAAGAATTCTTCAGTCCATTTTTCTTGAAACTGGCGTCCCTCTGTATCTACTTTTCGTTTTTTTCCACCAGACATCATTTTTGTTAACTTTTCGTTCTTTAAACTTAATAACAATACAAACTATAGTTAGTACACAACCACTAAAGACGCACACAAAGTTCACGGCTCAAAGAGTTCGCTAGAATATCGCTTGTCGAAGTTATCACCTCGGTAGCTCGAATAGAACTGCACAAATGTTCGGGCCATACACCCGCTTATATAGTCAAAATGAACGAATATTCTGGAATAAACTAGTTTTAGAATAATTGAGAAGCAATAAGTCTTTGATGTTTGCCGCCCGTGAGGCGTCGGGCGGCAAACATCAAAGACTTTCATCGAGTAAGCCGAGTGGCGGCGATTATCAAAGAGTGAGGCGGCAAACATCAAAGGATTAGATGTTTGGGGCTTCACTGTCGCTGTGAGTGTAAGTACCTAGTTTAATATTTTTTCATTGAGTTTTTTTTTCAAAATGTCTCGCGGGCCGGATTATATCTTACAGCGGGCCGCATGTTACCCATATGTGCTCTAAGGTATGAACAAAGCACTTTCTGTATTCCATAGCTGTGTTATATTTGATATTTTGTTGTATTCCATAGCTGTGTTATATTTGATATTTTGTTGTATTCCATAGCTGTGTTATATTTGATATTTTGTTGTATTCCATAGCTGTGTTATATTCGATATTTTGTCTCCCGGCAGCGAAATTAAAAGTTGCACAGATAGTAAGGTTACGTTTACAAACGTGAAGTTACATTTTTTTTTTTTGCATTTTTGCTTTGCATTACGCACGGACAAAACATTATAGAGCCACTGATGACGTCATTGAATGTCAAGTAGAGGTCAATACTAATTTTTGAAAAATATAAAGAATCTCAACATAATATTGACAAATACATAGAAAATATTAATCAGCAACCTTATTCCTCGAAATGGATTTCGAAAAAGAGAGTTTGAAAAAAAATGAACCCATTGGTTATAGCTTGATTTTTCTTGAACGTACTTACTTTTTTATTTTTAGGATTTAGGCTTATATTTTGGTTATAATTTTGAATGAAAAAAAAAACGAACTTGTAAAATGTAAAATTTTCAGACAAAAGGGTAACTTTTGTAATTTTCGACTGTTATTTGCGATTTAACCGCGGATAATGGATGATTATCCTCGATTCACGCAATGAAATCAAATCTGATTACTGTTATAAAGCTATTGTAACCATTAAACAATCAACCTAAACAAATGCCTGTTTTCGGTATTTAAATTGGTTGATATTAACTGCCTGACGAAATCGAATATAAAAATCGACATTATTCCAATTGCACAAAATCGTATTCAAATTTTTATTGAATGGATATTCAATTATTTTTTATGTGAAATTACTCCACTAGTTTGTTATTATTATTAATTTGTAATTATTACGTCTGTGTAACGTGGCAGATGGTATGCCAACTAAGCTTGCATAGTTGGCATAGCGTCTGCCACGGTTTGCTAGAAGACGTAGGTTCGAATCCGGACGGATCGAAGGATTTCTAAGTGTTCGATCTTTGTATTAATAATTATCACAAAATCGTAGTTGCAAATAATGTGACTACAATATAATAATAAGATAATAGATAACAATAAAACATGAAACGAGGAGTATTTTATGTTGTGTGCTGAAAGGTTATAATCCTAAGATTTGCAAATGGGAGTCTCGTCCAACCATTTGATCGATCCATACTTGCATTTTCGTGCGACGCGATTGCGATTGCAACAGCAGAATAGCATTATAACGACAGCAGTTTAAAATGAGTACATGTTGCGCATTGACTTATTGTAAGTCAATGATGTTGCGAGAGAATAATGCATTATGTAATCTGCTATTGTAATAATGACCACCTCTGCATATACTGAATAGATATAGATTATGCTTTCTTTCATGCAGACACAGGTAACGTGGGTGTCGCGATTCGCCAGGGGATAGCGTATTGACAGTTTAGGTATTCGCGCTTTTGCTTAACATTCCAGTCAGATTAACGGTTAACATTTGTCCAATAGTTAGATAAGGCCCAACATGCATTGCTGTGAAACGGAATGGAAGTGAATTTTTGTAACAAAATTGTACATAGCATAATGCGAATGGATGGAATGCGGAGACTGCGCGAGAATTGTTGAATCAAATTCTACATGCACGGTTGCAAAAATTCGTTTCTATAGCGTTCCGCGGTAATGTAGATTGAGCCTAATACAGCGAAAATTGAGTTACATTATAAATAACTCTAAGGTCTCGATGTTTGTTATGTTGACTGATGGATTGCTCACCATCATGTAGGTTTTTGCAGTGTAAGAACTATTACCGGTATACAGCTGTCAGTAGCCTTATTTCAGAGTTGCCTTTGACATTAGGTGTTGTGTCAGTATGGAACTATGAAAAATTACGATACTGACTTGAGGACGGCGGCGATGAACTTTTGCTTGTGGCTGTCCGTGGCGTGCACGGTGGGGAACCCGTTGACGGCGAGTGCAGCTCGCAGCCACGCGGCAAGGTTGCCCGCAGCCAAGGCCCACGTGGCGCGGTTCAGCGCCAGTAGCAGCTCCGCTAGGGGCTCGATTTGGTTGCGGGGAGTCGCTCCGCCTATTATTACAACAATTTTAAGTAGCCAAGATAATTAAATATCTGTTCCGTAACCTAAATAGCGGACTCTACTGTCTCTATCATTACTTTTATGGTTACGTGTAAGTTTTATCAGCTATAAGTTATTAGTACTGACTTTTGCAATAAATAATGTTTTGTACAAGATATGTATTTTTTAGGATTAGCTGTTTAAAATTCGGTAACATTCTAACTTGTCAGTTTTTAGATTAGACACTTATTTTTCTAGCATTCTTGACAGAGATGTCGCTCGTCCAAACTACTCAATATCTCGCCGTCTCTATCTGACCGTAGATTTTATTCGATCGTTCCACCGCAAAGTCAGTATTAAGTCTTGAGATTTGAGCGAAGACTTTCAAGTTTGTACCCGAGAAGACACAGCTATTTTCTACTAAGCGCTTAGCTGCGAGCGGTCGCACTCGTCATATGACTTCTTTGAATAAATAGGAAACGCGTGCGGTTAGACAGCCCCGACTAGTCAATCGCTTAGTGGAAAATTAAATAAATTGTGTAAAAAAAATGTGAACCAATATATGAAAGAGAGTTACCGATACAGCGCAGTGCGGCGGCAGTGAGGGCGGCGGCCTGTGGCTGCAGCGCCGACGGCCTCTGCGCGGCCAGCACCGCCAGCCAGTTGCACGCCGCGCGCGCCGCGCCCGCCTCCCACATGCGCACGCAGTTGCACGCTGCACCACAGTTCACCTCGTTTTACAATTAAGGCCTAGTACTTGTATCATTTTGGCGTAAAAATGAAAGCAAATTAATTTGCTACTCTGCGAACCCAGTGAAGATTAAATCGTGCTAAATAGTTTATTAATCGTGCAATATAGCTTCAATTTGCGCATAATGTAGGATCAGAACAATTTGCAGAAGTAATAGATTTGGCATTATCTGATCATACAGCGCAACTACTAAAATTTCCGGTAAAAAAAGTATGTGTTTTAAAATATTGGCGTATATATAGACGTGACTATTCTAATGTAAATATTGAAAAGTTTAAATATTACCTAAAAAGTTTATCTTTTTCAGACATCTACACAATTAACAATCCAAATAAAGCCTATTCTTATTTTATCTCAGATTTTAAATTATTTTATAACTTATGTTTTCCATTTAGATACATAAAAATTGAAACAAATTGTAATAATAAATGGATATTCAAAGGCATTAAGACCAGCAGTAGAAAAAAAAAGGAGTTTGCTATGGAAATATAGAAACATGCCTAACCAACAAAATAAATCTATATATCATGCATACTCGAAGTTATTTAAAAAAACAATAAAATCTATGAAGCGGTTGTATAACACTCTTAAAATTAATTCTGCTACAAATAAATCAAAGGTTACATGGGAGGTAATAGATACATGTAGGCAAAATGTACCCAGGGAATCAATTATACAAATAAAAGTAAACGGCACTATTATTACGAATCCATCACTCATTGCAAATGCCTTTAACGACTTTTTATTCACAAGACTCTACCAACTACAAAAAAATCAGCACACAATCAAAAAAATTTCGACAAAAACTGTTGCTCTATGTTTATGGCACCTTGCATACCATATGATATTGTAAAAATTATAAAATCACTTAAAAATACTAGAAGCGTTGGATATGACGAAATATGTACAAAGGTTTTGAAGTCAGTTGCTGAAGAAATAAAGAATCAATTATGCTATATCCTAAATATGTGTATAAATCAAGGTATCTACCCGGATGACTTAAAAACAGTCATAGTAAAACCACTTTACAAAAAAGATGATAGGGAAGTCATGAAGAACTATAGGCCCATATCATTGTTATCAGTCATATCAAAAATATTTGAAAAATACATAAGTTCACAATTACAAATATTTTTAGAAAAATATAATATATTAGCATGTGAGCAAAAAGGTTTTCGACCAAAAAAGAATATAAACATGGCTATATATGATTTTATGCAGGAAGTTATATCAAGTGTAGATGAAAGTACGCCAGTCTGCTCTATTTTTTGCGACATGACTCAAGCGTTTGATCATGTAGAGCACAAAATACTTTTAGGAAAATTAGAAACCTATGGTATAAGAGGTAATATTCTTAAACTAATTTCATCGTATCTTAATCATCGAAAACAAATCACTAAAATCAGCAACATAAATATCCGTACCAAAACCGAATGTGTCCTTAGATCTTGTAGTAAAACAATTATGTACGGCGTTCCGCAAGGTAGCGTCTTGGGCCCATTGCTATTCATTTTGTACATAAATGATCTACCTAAAGTTGTACCGAATCACCACGTTTCTCTCTTTGCCGATGACAGTACAATAACAATTAAGTGTAAAAATAAAATTACTTATGAACAAGACATTAACGATGCAGTAGAGTCCATTATAACTTGGTTAAAAGAAAATAACCTCAGTGAAAAAACTAAAGTAATGCATTACAGTCAGCGACAGAATAATAATAGCGTCAATGTTAGTTATGACAACATAAGTATAGGCCAAGTAACCGAGTAGTTGACATGGAAAACACATATTCAAAACCCATGTAAAAAATTAAGCATTTCTTCCTATGCCTTATATAGATTGGCTCATATAATTGACGTTAACTCATTATTGACGGCTTATTATGGTATAGTGGCTTCACATTTAAGCTATGGGATTATTTTTTGGGGTAATTCTACAGATCGGGATTTAGTATTTAAAGCACAAAAGAAATGTATAAGAGCTATATTTAGCATGGACAGCTGTTTTCCCTATTTTAAAAACTATAATATACTAACGGTGCCATCATTGTATATTCTAGGATCAGTATTATTTGTCAAAACAAACCCTAATCTGTTCAACAAACTTATGGAAGTAAGACGTAGGAATAGCAGAGATAATGACGCAGTATCTGTGATGCCACATAAAACTGCACTTGTGTCAAAAAGTGTGCTGTGTATGCTGCCAAGATTATATAATAGAGTCCCAAAATCTATCCGTGAATTACATGTAGATTTGTTTAAGAATAAATGTAAGCAGTATTTAATTGATAAATGTTTTTATAATATAAATGATTATATGAATACGAGATGGATTTAGGGCCCAAATATAATTGTCTTTATACCTATCTAGTAAGATTAAATAAAATTACAGATGTATTTGACTAATTTATGTTATTATTGACTTTCATTCATTTTTGACATGCGCATATTTTATGGAGGCTTAGAAATGTAAATTATGTAAGTTTGACATTAACATGATTTTACGCTTTATTTTTGACATTGTTAATTTTTACTAATTTTTATTATATTTTTTCTTTGCATGTTTACTAGTTTTTGACAGTTTTTAATTATAATATTTTATACATTATGCGACCATCACTAATTATATTTGTATGTTTCGACGAAACTGGTTGTAGAAGCACTGTTAATGTATTGAACTGATCTGATGAACTTATTGTACCTACTTCCACAAATAAATCGATTTTTATCTTTATCTTTATCTTTTAATTTTTTGTTTTATTAATTTTATTATACAATACTTATTTACCTTGTCAAAAATTAACTGCATGAAAATATTCAACACAAGCGCAGCCATCGCACATTTTAACTTCCACTGGGCTCACGGTGTAGCAAATTAACTAACATTAATTTTTCTTGGCACAGATTTCCGCAGAATAAAGCTTAATTAATTAGTATATTTTATAAGATTATTACTATTAATCATTTTGGCGTTACAGCGACTGTTGTGTGCCATGATAGCGTACCATTATGTTTTGTGTGTTCGGTGACACGCTTCGAATAATTTATAATCCGCCAAAATTATATAATCGTGAACCTGAAGTAATTTATTTTTATTTATTTATTTTTTACTTTTATTATTGTGGACAAACTAGTTACAATAACTAAAGAAACATTATTGACAACTTAAAAATAATTATATAATACTAAGTACCTTTCAAGCATCCCTTTTCACGATAACGAAAACATTGACAATATTCCTGATCATCCATCCGCAAACAAGTCGCATTCAGGGTTGTTAGCAACGAGAGAATTGAGCGTCATTGACAGTATTGTGTAACATTGTCAAAATGGTAATCAAAATGGTTTTGCAATTTAAAAAACAGTAAATGACTCACCCAACTCGACAAGTTGAGGCAAAACATCGTCAATCCAATCAATGTACAAAGGCTTCTTCTTAGTGACGTTATACAGTAGCGCGAAGAGGCCCTCTGTGAGTTCTGGGCAGCCCGAAGGATCGGCGGCGACAATTTGCGCCGTTGCCGACACACACGCTTTGAGAAGTCTGCCCATGTCCGGCCATTCACCACCGAGAAGTATCACTAACTGTTGGGTAATTTATAACATACAATTATAATAGTTATTAAGCACTAAGGGTAAGGAGGAGAAAAGGAGACTTTTAGGTAACAAGACTGGAGATTGGAGGAATGCTCATATCTTTTACGCTGTATAAACAGGTTTATCTTTGGTTCAATTCAGTACCATTTCGAGATGGTTCAGTAGACCTTAGAACCAGATGGTAAAGGATTTTGATTAAATATCAGAGTACTCTAGTACCAAAGTATAATAAAACAACTAGTGTAACTCCCGTCTGTTCGGCGCGTCAATACTTAAACGTTGCTCAGAGCGTAGTGTTGTCACATTATTATTTTAGTCATACCTAAATTAAGGTATTCATCACAGCATTCTCGTGCCATATTGAAATAATCTTTGTCCAATGCACTACTCATAATTATGTTGGCATCTTTATTCCAGACTCGCCGATTAGTATCACGATTATGGGAGTAAATTGTATTATGGAAAACAATATCTACTCCCTCCACACGTTCGGCTTTTAAATTGCACTCTAATCGAACAGAGAAGTGCCACGGCCGTGACAATTTCCTGTGAACAATACGACTACACGTTGGCCGCCACTTTGTAGAACGTATCGTGATCACAATCCGGCGGAACATGAGGTAGCCGTATTGGAAAATAGCACCGTTTTGCAAACCGGCTAGCTGTAATGTCACACGGCGCTTTATAGAATACGACTGCGATATATATGTACATAACGATATATTTATTAAGCAAAAAATTACAAGTTTGACGCAGAAAAATATTTTAAAAGCTAAGCGAACGCTTCAATTCTACAATAAGCGAATCCTGTACCCCACTAGGTGGTGTCGGCCTCGACCTGCGGCGCGTGGTCGGGTTTAGATTACGGGGTGTGTTTATGTTCTTCGGTGGTACAGCGGTTATTACTGTGGTCGTTTGATGAGTAGGTTCCGAGTTCCGATTTGGTCCAATTTAGGAAACGAACATTCTTAAATTGGTTCTGCGGCTTGGTCTGGGTATTCTGGGTATTGCCCTCAGAGTTATCGTTATTCTGGTATTCATAGTACAGGAAGTTCCCTAATTTAAGACCAGAAATTTGGTATGAATGTCTGGCATTTAGACGACACGCGCTGTGCAACTCGAGTGCGAACGTGTGCGTCCGTACACGGTGCGCGGCGGGCGCGTACACGTATGAGTCGCGCTGCTACGTTTGTATAGAGTTACACTACTAGTCTTATTATACTATGCTAGTAATGTGTTTTTGATATCAGCATTCGTGTCGTAAGTAAAAGAAATCATTTGTGTAAAGCTCCGCAACTTCAAATAGTTAGAATTACCAATTTAACGACATCAAGTCCCGCTGGGCAGGGGCGCGTGTTAAATCCCGCGATGGTGAGTTGCGCGATCTCCGTCACGAAGGGCATGCAGTCGTCCATTAACGTCGAGACCATTTGCCTTAGTATATTGTACATTGGCTGGAAAAAGTGTCTATGTTAATTCGTATCTTTCGTATAATAAATTCACATGTGGTCAATCGTCAATAGTGCCTTTATCACATAAAAGGCCTAAAATACCATTAACTACTTGAAACAAATTATGTGCATGTGAAATTTTATAACTCTCCTACATCAATCATTTCTTTCTTAGAATCTTTAAACCTCTTTACTGAAAACTTATCATTATTCAGATGTGGCCTTATTACCCAAAGCATTGGCCTGGCCTTATTATCTGTGTTTACGTTTGTTTTGTTACGTATTTATGTGGTTGCAATAAAGAAATATTCAATGGGATTGTATAAATGTCTTACCATTTCAAAATAATGTTATAGTAACTAAATTTTTCAATGAATGATACGGACTCTATCCAGAACATTATTACAGGCAAAGAAACTTTTTAACTTTCCTTTTTTTACTGGCTACAGTGAATAGGCATTTTTTGGACAAATCCCTAGCATCTTTGGTTAAATCGTCTCTTAACACCACATGGTTTATATTAAAAAATATAAACTATACTAAACAAGTTCAATTCTATAATATGTATAGTGTTTGTGTTTAGCCTTTTTTGTTATTTGTTTGTAGCGACTTGGATTATAATGTGTTATGTAGTTAGTTTAAAGTAGAATGCATACCTCGACAAGGTTTTCGTGTTGTGCGAAGGCGGGCAAAGTAGGGATGATGACGCGCAGCAAAGTGCCGGCCAGTTCCGGCTTTGGGCCCAGAGTCGCCATCAACGACGCCGTGCACTCTGCCGCGCCCGACAGCCGCGTAGGGTCCGACGCCTGACATTTTATCAATTCATAAAATAACTTCGCTATTAGGTATATACCGTAACTTCGCACTCTAACTGCCGCCCCAACGGTTCATGGTCCTTGCAACACCTTTTTAATTTTGGAATCATAGACAGCCCTCTATGCAGACCGTGCATGGAGGAGGAGGAAACGGCTGCGCACATCCTACCACAGTGCTCCGGCCAACTACAGTGAAGTACCTTGGAGTGCCGATGCGCTCCCCGAAATGATCAGCAAACCGAGGAGGTTGCTGAGATTCCTAGAGGTGCTTGGTGGGACGAGTAGAACCCTGCACCCACAAAACCCAAAATAGGCGCTTTGTCGTTGAGTTGCGGATACCAGCCCGCTGCACCAAGTATATCGTGGTTGCGTAGGCTTTGAAGTATATGAGGCAGTCGTGGAAAAATTCGTTGAACGATATTTAAACATTTGATTATTAGAAATAAAATTTACTCTCTCTTACTGTAAAATAAGCATTTAGTCCCTGATTGTGTTCCGGGCCCCGTAGTTCATTACCATTGCATCTTCTCATCTTGCGTGTTCATTATCAATTAAACAACAAGTTGAATTCCTATGTTTTAATGTCGGAAAACCGATTTTTAGTGTGGTAGACAAATTTCAGAATGTTTATGTTGGATCTTCACTTCACCTTAAAGCGCACGACGGACTGACAAGTTTATGTGAATATTATATAGAATAACTCGCGTTATAGTGTTAATGATATATATTGATTGACAGAACAAGTTATTTTACAACGTTGACGCTGTAGTGTAACAGTTAACTTATTGAGTGCTTTGGAAAATGTAAACTGTTTTCATACTTAATAAGTTTATATCAAAGAAAATAACTTACCTGTGCCCTTAAATCTTGTTCGATCATGGCAGCGAGCTCGAGCAGCAGCGGCATCGATTCGGCCAGTTCAGCGGCCGACAAAGAAAATCCGGCCGCTCCCAGCAGCTGCCGCCGCACCCACGAGTCTGAACGCCCCACTGGGCTCTGCGCGGTTAATGTCATATTATGATTATTTAATTATCCAATTGAGAGCGCTAACACTTTTACTTTTAACAAGTTTGAACCATTTTACAGAAATTAAAAAATGTCGATGGCTTGAAGATTTTTTTTAATAGCCATTATTCCAAGTGAGGAAGTCCCCACATTTATTAGCTCGGAAATAATTTTTTTCGTCATGCAATAATGAAAAAGACATTGCGAGTTTTGCTTCCACTTGGACCGCCGCGCCGATGCCAAACGCACAATTTCTTTTTCGCTCTTACTACGAGGGTAATGCTTTTTCTGACCGACTTACGATTCGGAGTCGATGAGTGTGGTGACACCCTAAGTGGTTTCGTGCAGGCGTACCTGTGCGGCGCGGACGACGTGCGCCACGAGGTCGGCCGCGGGCGCGGCGCAGTCGGCGCACAGCTTGCGCAGCGCCAGCGCGGCCTCGGCGGCGGCGCGGGGCAGCGCCGCTCCCGCTGCGCGCACGCACATGGCGCCCAGCCCAGCGCTCGACCCGCCCTCGGCCGCACCCAGCCACGCCGCGTAGCCGCCTGCGAAGCGAGTCACGTGACGCACCAATTCTACACCGAGCGGTGTGCGGTACGACTGGTAACATTATATTATACAAATATAATGCATAGAATTAATATATATCGTCGGTGTTTTGCAGAAAGAGCGAAAGCGCCATTTCGAAATTTTTTTCAGGGGAGTAAGTTTTAGTTTTTCACGACTGTTTTAAAATATACTCCCGGATACATGATTCGAGCCACCCATTTCCAATATAATGCCCTTAGCTTAAACAATGCTTGTAGGGCTTTTATCCCGGGTATCTCGGTCCCGAAAATTTCTCTCGACCATATTTTGGCATTTACGAGACTTTTGAGATTAAAATCACTTCATTAAAATATTTTCTAAACCAATAGTAATTTTTATTCTGGTTACATGGACCTGACAACACTGTAGAGTAGGGCTTGGTAAAATCTGTAGAAATTGAAGAACGATAGCAATGAGGTCCTCTCTAAATGAAGGTATATTAAAAGCTCTTTGTTTCTTAAATGTCCACTAAAAAAATAGAAATGGAGAAAAATTTTTTATTTAATCATGATTTAGCTGCGTAAATTCCTACCACATAACTATGGAAACCTAGTTTTGTAATGTAGAAAATGTCTCGAAATTCGCGTTTTTAAGTTACGATTTTGAGTTTCCATGTTTCCCCAGGACGCGAAAAAAATGACATGATAAGAACACTCGCCTAAACAATCTAGCGCAGTATGCAGTAGCCTTTTATTATCGGACGTGTTAGCAATGTCGACGGCGTGTCGAAGCATCCGGACCAACGGCTCTGGAGCACGTTGGTGCGGCGCGGCGTCCGCCAGCGCTAGGAAGATGTGAAGCGCGGCTTCGCGACGCACGTCTGTGTCGCTTGCGTTGAATGCAGATTCCACTGTAGTCCAGCACCAGTCGCCGAGAATACCGCAGCAGTACATCTGGATCAAGGAGATTACCTAATATAATTAGTGAGCATTATACTATAGGCCTCGCCTACTTTAGGAAAAGCGACAAAGCTTAACAAATAATGTTTTGATTTTCTGATAAAATCATGTCAATAAATATTTAGCAATATTGTTATTTTTTGAGCTTTAATCATTTTTGTAATTTCCAAGTATAAAAATCGAAGAATGAGTAAATTCTTTTAAAAACCATACAAAATTGGCACTTTGGAGTTTTTGTCCTGCATGTAGAATATTAAAACAAGTCACTTACTAAGTTTCCCTAGAAATGTCCGGTCTGAAGATATTTCGAAACATATTTTTGACTGCGCCCACATTTAATTTATTTTTATATCAAGCGATGAAGTCGTGCGACTGGTGGTAAGCCACACGCCGATCCGTCCCGTCGACGAATTCTTTTACAAAGAACTCTACTGCTACTAATGTTAAAAAACTACTGTTAAAAAGTTTGTAGTGTTCATTTCTCGTAAGTTATACTTACTATGTGTAGAGAGGTTAAATAAACGAAAAAAAAAAAACACTTTATATAACGTTCGTATATACATACGACAGTATCGGCGATGTCCTGCCGATAGCAGCGCAGCATTTCTTGATCGTCTCGCGAGAGCTCCTGCTCATTGGCCTCCGATTTTGTCACCAGCACCGTAAGCAGCCGCGAGAACAGGCAGCGCCACACCGCGTTCTTCTTGTGCCTCTCTTGTATTGGAGAATTCTCCATTAAGTTTAACACCTCGTCCTATTCAATAATAAATAAATATTATATAATTGACATTTATTGCACAATGCGTCGAAATAGAAAGAAATTACTGTTTGTATGCACATTCACGTTCATTATACATTATTATACACTGTTCAACAAAGTGTAGGGATTAAGGTTTTTTATAATATTTTTTTCAAATTTAATAGACTGTTTCCTTAAATGCTGTGTACCAAAAAAGCGTTATTTAATATTAATTTTAATGATAAAATAATAAAAGGGTTATTAAGGAATACATTAGAATATATTATAAAATAAAAAAATTGTTACGAAATAAAAAAGATTATTCAATTTATAAAATCTATTTCTACAGAAAAAGTTATTAAAAAAGAAACTTTTAATAGTCAGTTGGACCTCCCGGGCATTAGCGTTGGCTCTACAACAGCGTGGCATAGTATGTATGAGGTTGTCAATTATCATCTGTGGAATTAGACACCATACTCTACAAAAATGTGAATAAAGCTCTTCTTCTTTGTGTACATTTTGGGGAAGATTACTAGATGCTTTTCTCCCGAGCAAATCCCACGCATACTCAATGGGACCGAGATTGGCCGATTGAGCAGGCTACTGTAACAACGTGACATGACTTGACGTACTCGCAGAACACATGCATCACCAGGCTTGCAGTGTCGGTGAGGGATTATTATGGTGCATGGGTTGCACAACTCCGTCGTAGTATCGTTCCGCATTCAAATTGCCTTTTATCCAACCGAGATCAGTTCTTCCACCCGGGCGAATTCCAGCCCACACCATTATTGTTCCGCCTTGGTTTGGAAGAACTTCGTGAGGAATCTGGAGTACTCGCCAAACTCGCACTCTTCTTGAGTCGGGACGAAAGCAGGAAGTTTCAGTCCAGTGCAAATGTGCATTAGCCTACCATAAACGACGTCCTCGATTTCTACGTCGTAGAACTGGAACCCTTAGCGTGCATGAAAATGGACTTCATGTAATAGTCTTCTGGAAGTTTGGTCACTAACAACCACTTGGTGCAGGGACCGCAGTCTTTGTACCAGTTGCAAAGCTTTAAAATGGGTCTGTCTCCTTGCAGTATTTTGCAAAAATGCGTGCCCATAGTCGGCAAATTACGCTAGGTTGCGAGTTAACGACGTTGATTGCGTCCAGCTTCCAGCATACCCACATCATGCATCTCTTCCCGCGTTAAATGACGACGTAACATGACACTCAAAAGCAAAAAAATTTTGACAACGATAAATTCTTTAAAACAAGAAAAATAAACGTAAAGTGATTTAGTATCACTCTCAATTGGTTCATTAGAAAAACCTATGCGTTACGCCCACATAAGGTTGTCGCTCCTAATTTAAAAAGCTTTTTTGTAAAGTTTGTTCTGTGGTTTGCATTAATATTAGACATAACTGGTTGAAGACTGTACCACCTCAGTCAACCGTGACCATGGGACCTGTAAAGGGCCCGAAACGTCGGTTTGTTTGAAAAAACAAATATACGCCATTTAAATCCGGAAAAATAGTTTCATTTCCTAAGCTTTTTTGTTTTATTTATTTAAATTTCGAACCATACTTTAATAGTTTTAAATTACATTTATAAATTTCAGTGGCCAGTACTTAAAAAAACTTTGTTGAGTAGTGTAAATATCTCTCTACACTCTCTTTTCTCATCGGGGTAAGTAGAGACACCATTCCACTAGTTACCATCTTTCTCCTCATAATTTTGTCCATTACACATCTTTATTTCAGTTTTCATTTATTGATTTAATTTCAAATGGTATGTGTCCTAAAAAATTCAATAGAAATTGAATCACTTGTAAGAAGTAGTCAGTGCCTCGCTAGTAAAAACTTTATAGTAAAATCGCGTTTGTCAGTTATAGCGTCGGTAATAAATATCTAGATTATTCACCTAGGCACTGTTATAACCTCGAATAATATATTATATCAGATACATTACCTGTATGGTATACCAGGCACCAAAGACAAGGTTGGACCGGGTCTCGTGCAGTGGGTAGTGTCCGGGCGCGGCCTGCGCTTCCAAAAGTATATGTAACAACTTCAGCGCTCCTTCGTGGCGTGCCGCTTCTTCAGAGCCTTCCGCTGCGCGCACTATCGTCGACGCGTGGCACTCACAAATACATACACAGCAGGTTATTAACGCTGACAGGAGCTCCTGAGGGAACGTATTAGTCACAATTTAAACTGTTTTACTGCTTTTTTTTTACTTAAAGATTCATCCACCATTGGCCAGAACCCCACCCGATGTTAAGCAACGACGTGAGCACCAGAGGTACACTTCTGTTTAAACGATGATACCCAATGTGATCTATACATATGGACCGTCAGGGGTACACTAAAAACAATAAGGTCCATTTAAGCGAAAAAAAATTGGAGTTGCATAAGACGTTAAGGGGGTCCCCGAAACTGGAACACATTTACGGAGGTCGTGACCAAAGTTTTGACTTTCCATAAACGGAAAAATACACATTACATAATATACAAAAACATATGTACTTACAAAACATATTTTCTTATTATAGAGATATAAATTGCTTTTCTGTATATAAGATCATTCCTCATAAGTAACATTTCACAACAAACAAGTTATTTAGTTAGATAAATTATAAAATTTAACATGTGTTTTTTGTTAAGTTTCTCACTATACAGTTCAATTTATCAAAGTGAGTAACACTGTGTCAAATGCCAAAAACACGCTTGAAGTTGATGAATTCGTAAAAAAAACCGATATTAGACAGGCAGGGGGTCTACGGAATAGACTACGAGACAAATAAGTTTGGGAACTTCTGGTCTAAAAAATTTCTATTAACTCTAGCCTTGAATAGCCCCAAATTGCAGTTTTCAGAAAGTGTATTCCTTTCCTTTGTCACACGTTTTTAAATAAAAGACGAAACAAAGCGTTTCGTGCGAAAATGCGTTTGCAATGGTGGGCCTAATGAACTTGCGTGTAACCAGTTGACACAGGATTCAAAATATTGTTTTAAAATTTTAGAAACGTTCTTTACCTCGTTGATGGAGTTAGGTACATTATCTCGCTGCATGATGGGTGTGGCGAGCTCTGCCAGCTCGGTGACAAGCTGCAGTCCGGCGGCGGGGAACTTGGCTGCGCCGGAGTTGCCGCCGGCCGCGCGAACGCCCGACAAGCATGACTCGCACGCGTCTAAGGCCACGTCGCTCACCGCCTCATTCCAGCTGCGCATTACATCAGTACTAACTTTTTAAACGTGCATACATTATCCTATTTTGTTTCGGTATAATTGATAGTCACTTGTATAATTTGGTTGTTAATATAAAGAAATGCATAAATGTGGACAAATTTATGTTACTTAATCACAGACGACTGAACAAATTTGTATATTTCGAGACAGATGACCTAGGTATTTCTGTAAGAAGGGGAGTACTCACGTAAACAACACCTGCACGACTTGCATTAGTGCGCGGCAGAGCGGCAGGCGATCGGATAATGAGCCACCGCCGCCGTCGGGTGAGTCCTCACCGCCGAGTGTCAGCCAGCTGCAGGCGCAAGTCGCCGCTGTCACCCAGGCTTGCACTACTTCGTCTGATGGCGCTTCTTTACTGTAGTCACTATATTGCATGCAGCATATAAATATGTTTGCAAGTCTTTTATATACGGTGTTTTATATAGTATTTAATATAGTCTTTTATATTACAGTCTTTTATATAATATTTTATATGAAATCAAAGAAAGTAGGTAAATAAGCTTGTAGAATAACAACTAAAATTCTATTTTTAAAGAAGTAATAATGATGACTGTCGATAATCTAAAGTAGATAATAGATAATCCTCCACATAAAGGTTGAGACTTAGTCGTATTCAAGTATAATTGAAGAATGTAGTTTCATAAAAGGTGTATGTATGCTACTGTATATGGTTAAAAACATATTCGCACCTGAAGGCAGTTTGTAAACAGCGTAGCATGTCGTCAAGCACCCTGGGACAGGCCTGCTGCAGTGCCGCGCGGTTTTTCGCACGCAACGCCGACCCCATCGTCATGCTATTATACTGTGAGCAAAAATAAAAATAGCTGATAGAACTAAAAAAATGTTTATGTACACAATTAATAGTGAATTTGACGGACATTTTACCAGATAATTGTAGACATTATATCAAACCCTGATTTATTGAATGGGATCAACTGGTTAAGTTACCAAAATATACAGGCTGTGTATTTGAAAGCGGGATATACGTATAGAGTGCGTTATATTCCTGATTCTGAACCCAAAGAAATAATGAACTAATAAACTTAAACTTTACAAAAAATATATTTTAAATTTTTTTTATCAACTCCTACTTGAGAACAACATTATTTATCGAAATCTATGCACATCACTATTATTGCTCCGACGCAGCGGCGGGTGGCGGCACGGCGGCGAAAAACAAAGCACAGGTCGGGGGTCGGGGCGCGGGTGCATACGCGAAACTTCAGACAGTGCACGCGCGACCTTGATCTAACGAAGACACGTAAATTATTTGTACTTCCGCTCGCCCGATCGCCGCAAAATGGATATTTATTTTAACGTCGAATTGACTGAGATGGTGCGACTTTACGCAATAAGTGGTAATAGTGTGAGGCAAGCTATTGAAATGTTCCCAAATCGGAGTTTACGCAGAGGAGGTGAACAGTGTCGAAGTGTTGCGTGTGAGGATTATCTCAGCATTTTATACTGTGAGACAAAATGTGTTTGTGTTGTACAATTTAAAACAAAATTTACTATGCCGTGCTAGTGCTATGTATCGTGGAAAACGGTGGACATTTTGAACACTTGCTCCGTACCACGTAAGTGTAAATAAACTGTAAATAACTAAAAAATCAGTCATTGTAAATAATTTGAGTTCACATTTTTAACTACGCCAAAAACCTCAATTCTTATTAAATGATAACTAGTTACTAAATCATAAACTTATCTTTTTTAGTACGTAAAACATTTCGATGATAGTTCAAGTAAAAAATAATTAACATAAGCTAAAACGTAAATGTGAAATCATAGTTATTGTTGCTGTCTCACTCGGCGCTCGCTTGGTAGTATCCATTGCATTCGAAATCAAGCGTAAAGGGAAACGGTTTATTCGTATGTACACTTCAAAACACATTTGTTGATTTATTTTTTGTTCTATCCCATATCCGAATTTAATTCTAGTCTGTGTTAAGTTGTAACATGATTTACTATGTATGAATATATCTCACTTTCAAATATACAGCCTGTATAAACTAAATCTAGAGCATTGTGCAAAATCGACACTCCACATAGAAAAAATTGTTCAACAATGTTGTTGCACAGCTTGTATATAACAGTACAAATAACGTATTAACGCGATTAAACAAAAAAAATTAAATTGTATGAACAAACCTCCTCAGGTATCACAGTAAGAACTTCAAGGAGTAATGCTGTGTTTTCTTCTGTGGACAGGGGTCTCAAGATAGCTGCCAAGTCTGTTGTACCTTGCTGCAGAATGAAGGCAGCTAACTGTAAATAGAAATATACAACCTGCAAATATACAAGTTATAATAATAAAATAGCTTATTTTTCTCCGAAGAGGTGCAAGATGTAGGTAATATAATAGAAGGGAAAGGTTGGGAGATAGGAGCCCAAACTAGGTTGGTTATAACTGTGCTATGAATCACCTGGTCTTCAACACCCAAATTACAAGTCTTTATTAAGCATTACTAGAAATTTATAAAAATTACACTTATGTTTGGTTTAATCAAATTTGTAACAAATAATAATCTCTCTCAAAAGACTCGTTGTCTTCAATGCGTGAGCATACGGTGTGTGTTTAGGCTCCTAAATGTGAAAGTAAATAGGTTCTTGTAAAATATGTTTGTCTCTTACCTCAAACCTCATTTGGATTTCTTAATAATTTTTAATTTCACATCAACACAATTTTTACACAAAATAGGTGCTCCAACTGAGTTACGGAAACCAATCAGTTATACCATGCCATACCATTGCCATGCATTTTGTGGTAGTGTAGACAAATTTTTGGCAATAAAATTTTTGAAAACATGTCAGATAATATGTTATTCAGTTGCGTGTGGCATTCTCCTCTAAGTAATGGGGCAATTCTATTTATATATGTTTTGTATATCTTATTGTAATGTATATTGTACTTGTTGTTGGAGAACCAAATAAATAAACCCATAAAAATAAATATATGAACAACTTGGTGTTCAAAAGAAGTGAGTCTAAAAGTGTGTTTTATGGTCAAAAACACCAATGAGATAAGCTTATTTCTAATTACTTATTCCTATAACATCAGTACAATATTAAGCATTGTTACAAGAAGTTACAAGAAGGCAATTCATGTTACTGATTACATCTTAAAACATGATGTACCACTCCTTTTACACTTATTATGCATACATACCTTTGTGTCAGTCTGGACATTCAGACATTCAAATTAATATTGTCATTTACTAACATGTCATATCAGATCAAAATAAGATATAAAAATTATTATAATAGACATAAAATAAAAATAAGACAGCAAATAAGGCTTTAATTAATACATAAAACCATGTTAAAGTGTAATTTAATGAACTATCACACAAACATATACTCTTAGCATGACTATTTATGAAAATAAATAGCTTAATCTTTTTTAATATCATTATTCAAATAAAAATTACACATGCACAGGGACAAAGCACAGAAAAATCATAAAAGGTTTGTAAGACACATGCAAAAGAACCTAATACAAACACAAACAACAAAGAAAATAACAAATCATAAAATAAAAACTTACACTGATACAAAGTCTATTAGTAACAATCTTGGGGCCTTTGGAGTATGCTAGGATGACCTCGAGGATATTCTCTTTTAGGGCATCATGGCTTTCCGGCGGCACCTCACCCCAACACCGCAGGATTTTCGTGTGAAGTGTCGTAGCCGCGTAGAATTGGATTTCGGTCCCCTGAAATGTGAACTTTTCAAAATAATACAGAATACAATCAATAAAAATCAAAAAACTTTCAACTTAATAAATTAAATTATACTTAAACTAAAATTATTCATAATTTAAATCAGAAGTAATATCGAAAGGAAACTTTAATTTGAAAGGAAATTTTAATCAATAATCAATCAACAACGCAAATAAATGCTGAATAAAAATCATGATTTAACTAATGACTAAAGAAAATATCCCTGTTACACTCGAAAACTCATTAAGAGAATACACGTCATTATTCACTATTTCAGCGATAACAATGATTTAGTATACAGATAGGAGAAAATGTATAATGGCAGGGGATAATTACCTTGTTTGGTTGAAGCAGTTCCCAGACGAAGTTCCATGCTTCAGGCACTCGCTGCGCTGCTGTAAGCCACGAATGGGCTCGCGCGCGTTCTGCTTGCTCCCCATTATAGAAAACTGACACAGCATATTCTAAGTTTTGTGCAGTATACTCCATTGAAAATGGATTTCAACCCTCACAATTTTTCACACCCCTGTCCAATATTTCTTAATACATAATCAGTATATTTAGCAATCTTGTAACTTTGCCACTTTCAATTCACAGATATTACGAAATCATTTGTTAAAATACTGAGATCTAAATCAAAATAGCAATCAATAATATTTCCACCATGTAGTGATTGCGGAATTTGTAGGGGTATTATATTGAAATTTCTAGTTTAGTGCAGATTCAAAGCTTGAGTTGAGATGGGCTCATTACATTTATGAAGGTTAAAAAGAGAAACACTTATTTCAACAGGTTCAACAGAATTTTGCCAGTTTACGTTTGTGTTTGACATTCTTTATTGATGCGTTCATATTTTATTGATTTTTCAGAAAAGTAATATGTAATAGAAAGTCCAAATTATATTTTTTTAAATACTATATTAGCCATTGACTTAAATAAAGTCAATGATATTAGCTAATTAAGTACTCTGAGCTAGCAATATTAACATTTTTTCAAATAGGTTGCCATTTTATCGAATTCGAATATACATATTTACTGAAATATTTACGTTTTGCATTTACAACGCAACCACAACCTTAATCGTTCAAAATTCAAACAATGAAGTCAGTCTATTCCAGTCACTTATTCGTTCTTTGTGTTGTGTGGTAACTTTGGTAAATAGTCTGTGGTTGTGTGAGATATTAGTTGTAGCGTGTGAGTTGTATTAGTAGTTTGTGCGTGGAGGCAGTTGTCAGTGGTGTAAGTGTGGATTAAAATTTTTAAAATTTGGTAATATCTAGAACGACGCAATGAAGATAGAAGAAGTGAAAAGTACCGCTAAAACTCAAAGAATTTCAGCTCATAGCCATATCAAAGGGCTAGGTTTGGATGAAAATGGGGTACCAATTCAGATGGCCGCCGGTCTTGTGGGTCAAGAATCTGCACGAGAGGTATTTATTTTGTTTTAAATTATTCAATTAACTTCTTGACATTCTTTAGACTAAACAAATAATGTGTGGTTATTCTCAAAACACTTGAGAATAGAAATATTGATTTAACTTTGAGGTTAGTTTTTGGTTACCATGGACCAAAATCAACAAAGCGAACAGCAGTAGCTAATTGTATAGTATAAAATAAGAGTATCGTATTCATAACGGAATAAATAGTGTAGTAGTTTATACATAATATATATTATTATAATATAATCTAAAAATAATCCTATTTAGCGAGTTACAGATGATCTTATGGACTCTTTGCAACTTAAATTTCACAGTCAAAATATCTATGCCAATGGATAATGGATACGGATAAAATTTACATTAGGTAGTCGACAATTTTATACCAATTGCCACCTGAAACTAGTTTTGTGTCATGGGCTCCAGAGTAAGGAAGATAAGATATTACAGTGATCGGAATAGGTAGAGTTTTTTACCAAAACCTCGAGGTACAGGTACAGAAAGTGGAGACTACTAGTCCTAAGTAGAGAGTCCTAAAGGACAACATTTTTTTATCCTGGATCTATTTGGGGTCCAGGAAATCGTTTAAATACATTCAAAATTAATGTTACTTGGGATAGGTAGGTATTTATCTAAACTTTTGCAACACGTTGATGCAACCACCAATATTTCGGAATATTTTAGAAAACTTCGATAAAAATAATTATAATTAATACACTTAATTAGAATTTTTAAAATTCTGTTGATTTATGGACATTAATCAGGGATCCTAAAACTATCGCGATGACTCTTCATGTAATATGGTATACGTTTTAGCTATCTGAATCGAATTTCATTTTTGAAAAAAAAAAAAAATGAAAAAAATTATTTTTTTGTATGAATTTTTCTAAATATTTCGAAGAATTGGTGCTTGCAACAACGCATCCCAAAGTTATAATATAAGTTAGATAAATATAGTCTATCTACCTATCCTAAATAATGTCAATTTTTATGTTGTACTTAAGTGATTAACTGAATCCTGAAAAGATTCAGGACAAAAAATGTTGTCTTAAGGTACTCTCCACTTTCTGTCTCTGTTCCTAAGTTAAAAAAGTATACCTATTCCAATCACTGGATATTATGTGGGCTTATTTGTCTCATAAGCTAGAGACTTCCAGATGTTTGTCGAAATTGTATTGTGTTTTTAGGCAGCAGGCATTGTTGTGGATATGATCCGCAGCAAAAAAATGGCAGGCCGTGCACTGTTGTTGGCAGGGCCACCAGGTACAGGCAAAACTGCGATTGCTTTGGCTATTGCCCAGGAATTGGGTACTAAGGTATGAGTAGGTTGCATTTTGGCTACTTGTAACTTTGTTTCAAAGTTTTGTTTTGATAGTTTAGTGTTTTTTTTTTCATATTTAAAAATATAAGTTTCAATTAAATTAAAATAAACAAAAACATTTTACTTTTATAACTTCATGCTTGTGTTTTTTAAATGCAATTGAATGAATATAAACCAATTTAAATTATAAAATTGATATTGTTATCTTAGGTGCCATTTTGCCCTATGGTAGGCAGTGAGGTATACAGTACAGAGATCAAGAAGACTGAGGTATTGATGGAGAATTTCCGTAGAGCCATCGGTTTGCGTATCCGAGAGACCAAAGAAGTGTATGAAGGAGAGGTAACTGAGCTAACACCTGTTGAAATGGAGAACCCCACTGGTGGTAAGAAACAATTTTAGATTCATAGTTTATTCACATTTGTATAATCAAAATGGCAATGAGTCCTCTGAAAATACTGTGTGGGATTCTGATCCCACTCCACAGAGACGTAGTTAATTAAATATTCCTATATATATTTTTAATTTCATATAGCTTTATTTCTTAAGCTTATTCACCCTGCAGTGATTTTGTAGATATTTCCTTAAGTGATTGGTTAATTTCAGGTTATGGAAAAACAGTGTCCCATGTTATAATCGGACTGAAGACAGCTAAAGGCACCAAACAATTAAAACTCGACCCCACCATCTATGAATCTCTACAAAAGGAGAAAGTTGAAGTTGGAGATGTCATATACATTGAAGCCAACTCTGGTGCCGTCAAGCGCCAGGGAAGAAGTGATACTTTTGCTACTGAATTTGATTTAGAGGTGAGAAATGTTTTTAACACTTTATTTTTGTAGCCTGTTTATGATTTTGGAAATTTTGCTAATATTGCGATATGAAAAATCTTTGACAAATCTTTTATCACTTTAGGTGATTACAACTGACAAGTTGAACTTCATAAGTTGCCTTCATTTAAAAAAAATCAGGTTTCATTGTGACTAACAATAATTGTTATCACTCCAATGTTTCTCTTTATTTTTATTACTTTTTATTGACTTTAACTTGCTTGAAGTTTAGGCTCCATCATCTCACAATTATTACTCAAAATAGTAACTATTAATATTTGATATATTAACGCTAATTACATTAAACAGCATCTAAAATGTACTTTTGTATTATTACAAAATAGGCGGAAGAATACGTCCCATTGCCAAAAGGCGACGTGCATAAAAAGAAAGAGGTGGTGCAAGACGTGACCCTGCATGACCTCGATTGCGCAAACGCAAAACCTCAAGGCGGACACGACATAATGTCTATGATGGGGCAGCTCATGAAGCCCAAGAAGACTGAGATTACGGGTGAGATAATGACTTAATGGGCTTTAGCTTTACTTCTATTAGTTTAGTTGATTTGGTACTGAATTATAGGCTGGTAGTCTCATTTGGATGTTAATATTTTGTGTTTATTGAATATCATGATTTTACTACCATGATCTTCATTAAATTTTTATTGAATTGATATTCAATTATTTTTTGTGAAATTACTCCACTAGTTTGTTATAATTATTAATACAAAGATCGAACACTCAGAAAAAGCACTCAGAAAAAATTGCTTCGATCCGGTCGGATTCGAACCGACGTCTTCTTGCATACCGTGCCAGACGCTATACCAACTAAGCCACGGAACGAACCAACGGACCTCACGAATTCTTCTATGTGCTTGCGTCGTGTCTTTGTACTTAGTCTTTCAACGACTTTTTAGTCGTAGCGCCATCTATGACATCTATCGCCAGGACTGGTAGCTGTAAAGGTACTAACCGGGTGATAAATCTGCAATAGATTTCTCATAGACGTCGGTTCGAATTCGACCGGATCGAAGGAATTTTTTCTGAGTGTTTTTTCTGAGTGTTCGATCTTTGTATTAATAATTACCATGATGTTCATCTATTTTTTATGAAAATATTCCAGTAGTTTGTTATTACTGTATTGTTATAGAAATGTCGAACAAATACGAAGACTGAACTCGAGCTAGCGTTGTTTGCCTCAAAGGCGCTACCATAATACTATTTACTGTCATTTGCACCACTGGGTTATCATTTGCCTCATGTGATACCTCCATTTTATACAAAATACTTTAAAAATTATGCGGTTAACAATTTTGAATGATTGATTATCAATTTTGAAACAAATTTCAAAATAAATGAACCAGGCCTTCATGTGATTTTTTTTATTTTAGATAAACTGAGGAAAGAAATTAACAAAATAGTAAACAAATACATTGATCAAGGTATTGCTGAATTAGTGCCAGGAGTTTTGTTCATAGATGAGGTGAGAATTTCAGTTACAATTATGTGTTTAATTTTTTTATACAATGCACTTAATTGACTTTTAATACTTTTTCATTAATTTTTCTTTAAAAGATTGTCAAGTTATGATGTCAAAACCTTGGAAAAGTGTCTCTAATATTGATCTCTTACATCACTTGACATCAACATTTGTGATATTAGTTTACGAAAATAATTTTTAAGTAAATAAATAAATTTAAATAATTTTTAATTCTTACAACTGAGAGCTTAAGGCGATTATCACACTGCATCGCGCCCCGCGACAGAGCGCGGAGCTGCGTTTTTTAACGTTGTACTGAAGTACCTCAGTTTGTATGGAAAACACGCGCCGTCGAACACACTGATAACGCTTCTCCGGTGCACGCGGTTTTACCGCGCTTCCGCGCCGAACCGCAGGGTATGGCACACTGCGCTCCGCACTACCGCGCAGATTTTTATCAATTTGTGTCTATTCCAGTAATTGTCGTTCGGATTTTCCATAACAAATAATCAAAGGATTCAGTTGACAGACTTGTGTAGTCGAAAAATTAATCTTCATATTTTCTTAAATATTTGTAATGTACTTGAATGTTATCTTCAGTGTCTTTTTATTTGAGTAAACAAAACCCAAATAGACAGTATTACTGCAGCTTCCTGAATGAGTTCTGTATTATTAACCATTCTTCTCAAAGAAGGATCTCAGCTACATGTGTGCTTGCAATCACTACGGCGCGCACAGTGGGCTCAAATTGATAATTCTTGGACATAGGAATAATTTGTGGAGTATCGAGCAAATTTTTTTTATGTGATAGATAGTAACATTCCTAATAACTTTTATTCTTGTGTAATTTCTTGAAAAGTTGATAGTTTCGGAGAAAAATTTTTTTTTTGTATGGAGAAATATACATTTTATTTTTTATCTTAAAATATACGAAAATTTAATGTGCGTGGGTTACTTACAGTACAGTTTCAATCATTTTCTATGTAGAAAAAAATTATCCGTCTGCATGTACTTGCGGCTTTGTAAGTAAAGGTGCGGCAAAATTGCCCACTTTTTAAACAAAATACCTGAGGTTCCACTAAAGAAAAAAATATTTTAGTGTAATTTAGAGAGGTTATAACAATAACACGAAAGTTAAGTAGAAACTAGTATATTGTTTTTAAAAATAAATACATTTAAAATTTTGCCACCTTTTTACTCCATTCAAAAAAATAATTATTACTTTTTTTCGCGGTGCAGTGTGTTAATCGCCTAATACTATTAATCCTTTAATGGTGGTATTTTTATAAATATTAGTAATTTTATTTCCAGGTGCATATGTTAGACATAGAAACGTTCACATACCTGCATCGCGCGCTCGAGTCGGCCATAGCACCAATTGTCATATTCGCTACAAACAGAGGCCGATGTCAAATTAGGTAAATAATACCTTACTATTTACTATAATACACGTTAGTCAAATGTTATTATTTATAAGTGTTTATACAATGGGCCTAAGATAGAATCACAGATACTGTTATAATTATTTGCCGAAAATTAACGATATTTTTAAAATTACCATTTTTATAAAGTGACCTTATCTTGGTGTGTAGCTGAGTGTACGTCGGATATGGTGAAATACTTTCTTACTTTACGAAATATCAGATAGGATCGATTTGTTCCACTGTTCACTGAGTGAATTTGTAAAGATAGCGCTTTACATTTGTCATTCTTGCTGCCAAGTCGGCAAATTTTCTTGAAATAATTTGTCATTGTAATTCCATTTAGAGTCCACTGAGATTATATTGCAATTATGATAATATTTATTATTCTGCTAAAATCTAGTTGCAATTGCAACGAGTCTCAGTAGAGTGTCAGTGGAATGGCATTCAGTCATTGAATAACTGTTGATGTTGCCTTATTAAAACTATCATAGAAATTTCTATGCATATTTTAATTTTTATGTCCTTTAATCAGCAATTTTGTCATATATAATTATTAGTACATTACGTTATCGACGCGCAGCCGACTTGCCATTGAAGATCAGAATACCAAAAAAATGCAATGGCAGTTGAATATCAGCTCGATGGCTAGCCACTGACAAACCAGTACTTTTAACTTAGCAGAATACTTAACGTACAAAATTCTGCCATTGACATTAGAGCTAACGGCACCCAAGTGAGATGATTTAAAATTTGGGGCCCTGATTTATTGAACTGGGTCGATAGACTGTATTCCAAAACTTAATCTATTATAGATCAAATTTTTATTGAATGTCAGAATGTTTCACCACCATGATATTCAATTATTTTTCTTTATTCCACTAGTTTGTTATAATTATAGATTAAGTTTTGGAAATAAATAAATAAAATAAATAGCAATAACTTTCCTTATTCATAACAATGAAAAATGTAGTTTTAATTTATCTCCATTTTACTTGCCGTCAATGTCTGCTATTCTTATAAGTAGTGCCAAATTTATTGTATTTCAGAGGCACAGAGGACATAGTTTCACCGCACGGTATCCCACTTGATCTTTTGGATAGATTGCTGATAATACGCACATTGCCGTACAACAAGTCGGAACTGTTACAGGTAAACTATTTATTGAATAATACTTAATGAATGAATAATTTTTGCCAAAACCTTGCAGTGGAGGTAATTTTGTTTGACAAGAAACGACCAAACACCAATTTGAATGTAAAGAAAAAATTCCTTCTGATTGGATTGCAACCAGTGTTTGCTACTATGTCGGGGCCTCCACTCTTAACCAACTGAGCTTCAGATCTAGTCAGCAGAACTTCGAATTTCTTTATGTTTGTATTCATAAGTTACTGACAGGTGCACTGACGACGAAAAAGCCAACACAACAGTAATAATAACACAGTAGTAGAGTAGGAGTATTTTCACAAAAAAATATTTTAAAGTGGTAGAAAAAGTCATGATATTCAGTAAATGAGTAATAATAATAATAATAACGCACACACTCAACATAGCCCCGCACTAGGGAAACCCTGTGTCGCGGGTGCCATGGACCACACATATACAACCACAAATTACACCCAAACTCACGAGAGAAATAAATGTAGGCCATACAAATATTTCTCCCGGCCCGGGAATCGAACCCGGGGACCTCTGCGTGGCAGTCCGGTATGGTAACCATTCGGCCACGGAGGCAGTTATTGCAACCAATTTGATTTCGTAATTTTAACATCTGTCCATTTAGTGAAAATAACGAAATTCTATCATTAACTTGAGTTTACTGAGTCTTGATAATGACGTCATATTTTATTTCTAGATCTTGAAGCTACGCGCTGCGACTGAAGGCATCTCAATCGAAGACGACGCACTCTCCGCTTTAGCTGAAGTGGGCGCCAATAGTACTCTGAGGTAAATTATTTTTGATAATTCAGATTGTAAACGAAAGTCGGCGGCATCAATTGCACATTTAAGCACGGCCTTTGTAACTCGTCGGAGAGAACGTTCTGCAATTTTTTTTTTTACAAACTGTAGGGCTAGCATGACAGGACGCGACTTGGGCGAGAGCGACATAAAGCACGTATTGCTGCTATACTCCCATAGATAATAGCAATATCTCGCGCTTCTATGCCGCTCTCGCGCATACCGCGCCCTATCGTGCTAGCCCTACTAGTCGTTTCCAAATTTTGTTACTCTAGCACTCATTGTACAGGGAAGTTATTAGTTTGAGATTACTTGATTATTAATAACATAAAATTAAATCGTGCAGATACGCAGCGCAGCTGCTGACGCCTGCATCACTGGCGGCACGCGCGGACGGCGCCCAACGCATTGCGCCCGCGCATATCAGTTCCGTGCACACGATCTTCCTCGACGCTAAGTCCTCTGCGCGCATCCTCACGCAGCACTCGGACAAGTACATGAAGTAAGGACGCGGGAGACTGCTCTGTCCAAGCTCATCGAAGAACTTTCTTGTCGATCCTTTTTCCTTGTATTCTTATTTTGGTCCGCGTTTGTAATCGTGTAATTGTGGGTTAAACGCATTATGAGCCCGGACGCCACTTGTGACATTTGTATTGACTGTATAAACTAGTTCGCTCTTTCAGGTAGGGCGAGAGTAAAGTTTCTACTGTCGTCGCTTCGCTGCGTCGTCAATTTTATTGGTTGAAAATGATTACGTCGTTTGCTAGGACACACTACGTTGGTAAAAAATTACAGATACGACACTTCGACACTCGACCTGAGGAGCGGGTTAACTTTTACAGTTATATTTAGAGAAAAACTTTTGATTCGGTTGTTAAGGAAAAACATTATAGGAAAGATCCCACGATAAATGACATTATAGTTTCGTTATTATTTCTTGTGTATGCCAAACTTTACACAACTGTTGTGGCATACCGCAATTACGGTATAAAGTATTTCTTTATTATTTAAGGTTTATTCCATAATTTCATTCGTTGTGATATTTACTTCTGTTATTAGCAACAACTAATTTTGTTTTCGTTCTGAAGCGAGAGCAATGATTTATTTTTATACAAATTGTAACAGTCGATTAATTTCTAACCAAATGTAAGGACGAAAGAAAAGTGGTATTGTATAATAAATAAGTGTTTATTTTGTAAAAATTTTCTTATTCTAATCATAAGACCTAAATATGTACAACAACAAGTTTGTTCTATCTAATGAAGGCAATTTTCAACAAGTTGGCAGTTTAGTAATTATTACTGGGAAGGCCACCATACAACCAAATTGAACACAGTAACATGTTCACACGCTGATACATAAACTTCTGTACAAAAATGATTCGCCGTAAAAGGGCTAGTGTGTACGTAATGTAATCAATTTTATCTATTACACTAACACATTTGAGGGTCACGTTGGATTATTCTCCTTTTCTTTGGAGTTCTGGAATGGTACTGGAATGTATCGTAAATCGGCCTTTGTTAAGGTGGAAGGTGGCGTGGGCCCGTGAGTGGTGGTTGGCGGTGTGAAGGTGGGCAAGTCCACTCTGACCGGCGACGGCGCCGCTGTGTGCCGGTACAATGCTTCGAATTGCAGTTCTTCAGGGAACGAATGAGATCGAATTTTCCGCTCGTCTCTTGCGTTACTCGGGTAAACGATGACTATCTTCTGTCCATCAGTCCGTAGAGCCACGGGGGGTAACGCAGTGCTAGCCGACGCAGCAGGTCCATTCACTACTTTGAGCATTTCCGTTGGAGCTGGTTGAAATTCAACTGTAGTAGTCGGTGTTGTCGTTGTTGTGGTAGTGATCGTAATTTCAGGGTCCTCTGGAATTTCCATTAAACGTTTTTCTCCTGGCGGACCTACCGATCTAAGGGTCTCTATTTTCATTTCCAAAGTCGGTGTCGGAATTGGTACCGAGTTTGTTGTATTCATCTCTTCTGTAGGAATATACCTTGTAGTAGGCTTAGGCAATTCCCTTGATCCAAATATGGGTAATCGTGGCGCGTAAGCCGATACGAGAGGCAGTAGGGTATCTCTTGCGTAACGTTCCGCTCGGGAAATGAACGATGCGAGTCGCGCTGGCAAGAACTGAACAGCGAAACTAGTTTCTTCCTTATCAGCCCTTTCACCTCCGTCGTAAGTTGGCGTAGTCGACATGTCGTAGTTCTTTGCTTTTCTCGAAGGGGGTTGCGTAGTTCGCGGTGCTTGTGTCGGCCGAAGCACCGGTTCTGATATTTCAGGTGGATCGTCCACCAAATCGGCTCGTTGTCGAGGTGCCTTTCGCGGTCGAGGTTTCAGCACTGGCTCGGCGATTTCGATGGCGCCACCGGGAGCAGTTTTGGTGTTTGTCATCCCAAAAGCTCGACCAGAGTTTTCGTTACCTGTCGACCACTCGTAAGCGTCGGCAAGCAGGAAGGGTCGCTGAGGAGAGTCTTCGGGGAGTGCATTATCTTGTAGATCGATTGGTGGGCCTTTAGTCGCGTTGGTTGTACTTACGACATACTCTATAATCGAATTTGTCGTATTTAACGGGTCTTCGTCCTGAAAATATATTTATATGTATTTAATTCAGGGAAGGAAATGAGTGCCGATAACAACTACGTGTTCTCCGCCTCGTATACTTTATTGAAAGTACTGACCTCCTTTATTTGACAATCTCCGGGGTACAGCGGTAGTTCAACAGATTGTTCCGTAAGTAATGGCATCCCTTTCTTGCAGAAAGACGATCTGTAGAAAGTATCTCATTTAGTAACCTCATAATATATGAGGCTTAGGACTTTCAATTCAAATTCAAAGCTTTTATTTCGGACATTCATCCCGGGTTAGTAACAGAATACTTAAAAATAGGGTTAGTATTACAAATAATTACTCTTCCTTCTTACTTTGAAACGCATCTAACGTTTTGCTCGTTTAATTCATAAGATCAAATACTTACGTCTTGCCGAAGCTATCAGTGATGAGCAGCTTGTCCACGTGAATTGTCTTAACACCAGCACTCAACCAACCGGAATACGCCGCGTAGTGTATCGTCACACGCAGTGGAACACCTAAAGCGGGATGTGGTACCAAGACTCGAGTAAAACGAACGCTGGTATTCGTGATATCTTCACGTCTGGAAACATAGTCAACAGTCAGTTTAACGGGTTATAGGAGGCACGAGTGCCGCGCGTCAATTTTGTACATAAGCATTTGATACACTGGCATTGTAATACGTGTGTGTAATAAAGTAATTGACGAAAATACGACCTCAAAAGAATCACAGCGGCGCTGCAAAATAAATGCGATAAATAAGCACTATAGTGGCGTACTTGGTCATTGGAAAGGACTCATTGAGGCCCGAATCACCATGTAAAGTCAACGTCACACGTCCATAGTTTGGTTTCTCCCCCGGTTGATTACCACCCCAAACAGCAACGTGGTACTGATGCGCTGGAAGCAATGAAAGTAATTAAAATTAATACAATCTCTGAACTTAGGCATATATATTGCAGAAATTTTAAAGTTATGCCAACTTCTAAGCAAACTTTGATTGTTGGGTAATAATACTGAGGTCGTCTGTGGTAATGTGAAGTATAGTATAGTAAGTATAGACTTATGTTTAGTAGAATAATATATTCATAACATACCACAGAATGGCTCTTCTTCTCTAGTCAGTAAATAAAGTTGTCCTCGTCCAAGGGACCGGTCGGCGTAGTAGCCCATATTACCACATCTTCGATCAGGGCCACACGGGAAGCAACGACCCTGAAACCGAGGACAAAAAGACGCTTGTAACTTAGGGATCAAATGCGAATGCTTTTGTTCCTGATGAAATTTTACCTCAAGGAAAGTATCGTAGTCTGCACAAGGGAAGGCAGGGAAGTGGCATTTAGGTGAAACAGAATCAGTGAAAAACTTGTATGCTCGCCGATGATTACATAAGGAGCGACCTTCGGGTGACGCCGCTGCCCATGGGAGAACTAAATCTGACACTGCTCCAACGAATCTGAGGATTAAGACGATTTAACTTAATTGTATCAGTAGGTTATACGGATAATTAAAGCTAATGTTACGATCTTAACTTACAAGTTAGAACATCCATGCTGTACTCTTCCGCCATTAGGATAGAAATCTACATGACCGAGAGGTTGAGCTGCACCCAATCCACCCAAAATTAATGTTTCGCCGTTAGAGTGAATCACGTCTACGAATTTCGCGTCGGAACGATCTAGACGAGCTCGAGGATCTTGGAATTCGAAGAGAGGTCCTGCTGGGTCTAGACCTGAATACAGATTATTTATATATAGTTTTCATTCGCGATGGGTGATTTCATCACAGCTAGAGTTCACTAACTTAAAAGTAGGTATATAGTTGAAAATTTGAAAATTATATAGTTTGCATAACTTCATTTGCTCGTGAATATAGTTACTTAGGCTGTTTTTACATTGTCGCGGAACGGAATGGAAGCGAAATTTTCTAACCAAATTGTACGTAGCTAACTGAACTTACTCTATCAATTGTGAAACGTACAAACTAGATACGAGCCAAAAAACAGGTCAGAATTCTCGCGCATTCACGGGAGTTACTGCAGCTATCGTCGGCCGCGTCTGGCGAAAGTGGGTAGGCGCAGTGCGGCTTCAAGCATCTACCAGACGGGTATGATATGGTGTAACGGGCTGGTGTACAGATATAATATAAAGAGATGTGAATCTTGAAAAATCTTTTGATATTGGCCAAATTTTTTTTAATTTCGATTCACCCATATAAGAACCCAAATACCAGTTTACCTTTTGTTTTTGCTTCACAAATAAGCTAAATGAAAACAATATCCAAGTTCAACATCCCTGTCATGACAAACGATCTAGATTGAATAATTGAACACCTACTACAGCCTGAATGCACAGTTTTCACAAATTCACGCGCTTTCTCACGCATCGAGGCGAAGTTGACGCTTCCGTTCCATTCCATTTTGCGGCAATGTATACATTAAGTCTTACAGAAAACAATGACAAAACTTGATGAGTTACTCACCGGTAATCCGACTAATATTTCGGAGTTCTGTACCAGCGAAGCCAGCAACATGGGCACCTAGACTGAATCCAATAAGGTGGACATCCTCAAACCGCAAATCTATATGCTCTGCCAGACCTAAAACCAAAGCCAAACATAAAAGCATTATTTACAATAGTTATTCGAATATTACTTTTGACACTGATGTGAACTTTTAAGTGATATACCTTGTAACATCATCGCAAGCTGTTTTCCCACAAGCCTAGTGTTTGCCGCCGCACGGAGATAGTTAGGCATCGTCGCTCCACCTTCCCAGTCCACACATATCACGTTACATTCTTCCTAGAAGTTAATATTGTATACTAATCATTGCATTCTCACTATCTCGTGAGTAAAATTAAAAAGATTCAGATAGATACTTATACCCACTGAACATTTATTAGGTACCTACCTACGTACGCCGTTAATATATAATATTATGTATTACAATTACAATTTTGCCCCAAAAAACTACTGGTTGATATTACTGATCAGTTATTGTTTTTTACTAAACTCTGTGGCACTTTTTGTACCAATTTTATTGATAGACATAACGACACAATAAAAGTGCGTTTGAAACAAATGTTGTAGTTCCAGTTCCAACGGTGAAGTGACCTCAACCCACATGAAATCATATCTTGTCTCAACAACAGTTACGGTGCCCATCAGAGCGCGTCGCGTCTTGTATGGAAGATCCTAAGCTGTGCGAAGTCGACAAAGTGCATCATTTTCATAATTACTATGTATCATAAATGAGTACCATAATTTAAAGATTAAAAATAAATAGTATCGGCGTTTACCGTAAAGTGCTTTCTGTGTATTGCCGCCTACTGCTTCCTCAAAGAGAAAAATCCACAAAATTCAATGATTTACATTGACAAATTTATATCGAATAAGCTAGGACACGAAGAAAAGTGGCATTTTTGCGTGGACTACTACTTAAGTACTAAGGTTTTGTATAGTAATCACGCTAAGGCCCGGCCCATCGACAGGACGGTATTGCATGGGATCCTTCGGGCATTCCTACATTCAAGCACACACTGATAGCAATAAAACCTCGGTATCCTTACACTATGCTCGCACCTAACCTCTATTCAGATCACTCGTAACGCTGGTTTTTACCAGTTCCGTATTTAAAAATGGTAGACTTGCTAAAGAAGAGAACCATATTCCAAGAAGGAGAAGATTTTGGGTGAATAACCTTCGGAAGCCTGACGAAGTATCTCGATGTCTGCCGAGGCATTCCGGAGGCCCTGTGGTTCGGTATCCACTGCAGCTTTGTTTTTGTCGTTATGACCATTATAATTGAAATTACAACTTTACTTTACTTTTGTTATATCATTAAGGTATGTTACAGTTCGTTGCATAAAAATTCCCTGTCGTGCCGTTCCGTCAGTGGTCACCAGGCCTAAGTAGGGCGTTGCCAGGGCGATACTTTATTACAATCAAACAGGTTTCTTAAATTCAAGAACTGGAATTTTTATAATGATGACAATTATATGTATGAACTTACAACTGCCATAAGTGCAGATCGCATCTCGTACACCCAGACGTTGTCGCAGTTGGACCCGAAACCATGTACAATTACGCGCGTGGGTCGTTCCGAATCGAAAGCCCTCGCTGCCCAGCCCCAGGCTGCCGACATGTTACTTGCCGATACTGCCAACAGCGGTTGATCGCCTCTGAAATTGTCATGAAAGAGTTATAGTTCTATGTTAAAAAACACAGCATTTTGTAGGTGTCCAATAATGGGAGTCGAAACAAGGACGACCGGTGAAATGGTGATAAGGTGTACGTGAGTTGTATAAAGATTCGGGAATTTGTCAAGACTTGGACATTGTGTGAGCTTAGAAGTGTGAGAGGCATACTCACAACTGCACCTGTGAGCTTCGAAATCTGTGTGATGATTTCATTCCCTTGATTACCTACAGTTAAATAAATAGTTAGGAATTAGTCCCACTGCTGGTTATAGGCCTCCTCTCACAATGGGAGGGCGTGGGTTGTAGTTTCCACGCGGGCCCAATCCGGATTGGGCACTTCTTCTAAATTGTTTCGCAGGTATACAGGTTTCCTCACGATGTTTTCCTTCACCAAAAATCTAATGGTAAATTTCAAATTTAATATCGCACCATTGACCTACCATTCGCACATAAATTTCGAAAACTCACAGGTGAAAGGTCGGATTTGAACTCACGCCCTCTGCTTGAGAGGTGGTGGGTCAAACCATTAGGCTCCCGCGGCTTTTTTTAGCACGATAGTTACAAATTTATATAAGATGTGATTAATATTAAAAAGTTACCTGCTAAGAGTAGAGTAAAGAAGGAAATGTGTGCCGACTTCTTGAGGAGTGCTGGGCAGCGTTTCCAAATAGGCGAATGGGCCAGCATCTTCGAAGCAGCCGAATTCCCCGTAACACACGCTGCCTTGGGATCTCTTCGTCCTGTCAATTAGGAAGATCTTTTGGTTTTTCAAGTTACTACAACATAGGATTACCAATTTGGGATACACAAAAATCAGTTTACGGAACTGACTGTCAACCTTCACTAATTAATTAGACTCACGCGAAGTAGAAAAAAGCCGGCGAAGATAATTCTTTTTTGGCATGACAGAAGCCGAGTTAAACGTATGTAAATCTATGTAATTAAATAATGTGAATGTGTACTTCAAGGTTAATTTAATTCCTCAAATTAATCAATTAATTTACACTGCCCTAATTAGTCTTCATGACTTACTTACGCTCATCAGAAGTAGGGCTAGCACAATAGAGATTTCTATGCGAAAATAGCAGTATCTCGCGCTTTATGTCGCTCTCGCACAAATCGCAACCAGTAGGGCTAGCCCTACTGGACGCGACTATTGCGTACGAGAGCGATATAAAGCGAGAAATCTCTATGCGAGAATAATGGTATCTCCCTTTCGCATTCGCTCAAGTCGCGCCTTGTCGTGCTAGACCCACGGGATTCAAAAGAGACTTATTTATTTATTTGTGAATGTAATTAACATACGAATTCTTGTCGTATTTTTAAATATTATATAATTATAGCCTAACGTCTCATTTAGGTTAATATGTTTGGATTTGATGTAAAACCCTGCATTTTGTGTGCTTGACCTGTGCCCCTATCTTTATTCATGTGCCCTAGAAGATTCCACCACCAAGAAGATTTTTCATTAGTAAAGTTTAAAAAGGCTTAAATAACATCCAACTCAACTTATTTTTATAATATTTTTTATCTTGATACACCTACACTTTAAAAAATATAACGAATCAATTCATAGAAAAGTTATGGAAAATCCCAACATAATCTATGTGAGAATGATATGAACAGTTAGTTAAACAAGTGCATTCAGTCACGAAATTAATGAAGTTGCGCGATAGAAAGTTTGTCGAGTGAAATTAAGAGAAAGCCACGTGTTTAAATCTCAAAATTCTTTGCTGAAAAACGCTTTTTATTGTCGTAATTGTATGGTGACATTAACTCTTGTGCTCATTTGCACATCGCCTGTTAGTGGCAACTCAATCTTGTTTTGTGATATCGACATACTTACGCAGACATTCTTACATAACATTTTTGCCAAGATAATAGGGAATATGGTTCAGTAGATAAATAAGGATCAAGGTTTATTTATAATATTATATAAGACGTTACAAGCTACCTTTGTTTGACAGTTTGCAGTATAATGCTTTCGTTGTGAATCTTGACACCATTGGGTACGAGATATATCTATATAGCTACCTTTCATCACCAGTTTATAAAAAAAAGGCATTAAAGCACTTGTTGGTACCTAGTCCTCCCTTTCTTCATCTCCCACTGACGCATAGAGGCCTTGATTGCTGCCAGCATCTCAGTATCGCGGCGCTCGTCTTCTGCTTCTTGCGATGCCGTCGCCGGCCGACCCGCGCCTTTCCATGGCTCCAACTCTGCATCTGTAACATCACAAGATGTTTTATTAAATTCCGCATAAGGGTTACACTGTCTACTTTGTGGGTTGTGGTAAGTATGGTCACATCCTCCTCCCAGAATGGGTGCCTGCTTTGTCGTGGCGGGGGGATTCAGTAGCCGTAGTCTACTTAATTCTATGGTGAAGCTAAGAGGAACCCACTGGCTGGCCGATGGAGCTAGACTGGCCCGAGAAGGAGGACGTTACACCGCGCGAATGCGCGCGGGGAGGAGGGTCGCGGGGGACTCCGCGACTCTGGCGGAGTTGGACTGCTTTAAAGCACAGATGAAGTAGTGTAGGGCCGCGGGGGAAGAGACGTGTCGCTATGTTGTTGCCGCTCGGCTCGTCCTCCGCGGCTGCATTTCGGCGATTGATGCTCCAAAGGAGTCTCTTAGGAAAGTCCACGCGGATGTGCGTGTATCCGCCGCGGGGCGGGGGGAGCATTCACTGCACTGAACTTCACAGTTGAGGGGATGTGATCCTAGTCCCCATGGCTCCTGGGTAGCGGACTCGGAGGAGTTCGTTGCCCAGCATGGAGGGGCCCGTGCTGGAAGGCTCGTCTGGTGTACGGCGAGCCTTACATCGTCTCCCTTCTCAGGGAGGTGCTGCGCTGCGCGGTCGGTCGGTTTTGAGGTCGGTTTTTTTTAATAAAAAAATTATAATTATATCGGATCTAAATCGTGTATACCTACACGATTTAGATCCGATATAATTATAATTTTTTTCTTTTTTGTTTTTTTTTTCAAACAAACCTACATTTCCGGCCCTTTACATATCCCATGGTCACGACTGACTGTCTGTCTGACGGCCTGTACACCATATAGATCCGAAAAAAAAAATGGTTTCATTTCCAATGGATAACAATCGCGAAAATATAATAATTGTAATAGAAGTACAGTGCATGTGTACCTTGACACCTCTGTCTTTTTGTTACACAAGCAAACGCACCTAACGCATTGCTCAGCAGAGCAAAGCCATTTAGTTTGACTCGTGACAGTAATTTCTATCATTGTTTACTTTAATCGTATATGCTAACCTACAGTACAGTGAACGATAAAATGCATTGAAAAGTTTGTTCTCCCGTGCGAATGGGGTCGACCTTGTCTTGAGACCATCGTGGAGAAAGCTGCTTTATTATATGATAATATAATAAATAAATAATGATGGTCCTTTAATTTATATAGTTCTTTAATACACTTAATTTGGTGGAAGAGTCTTGTGAAACAGGTAATTTTGCTTGAGCAAAGTTTATGCAGTGTCTCTATCACGATGTTTTGAAGGAGAAACCGGTAATTACGTACAACATTAAAATATTAAATTTTTACCCGTTCTAACCTCGTGATATAGTGTAATATAGGTACTATACTTTTCGATTTCAAGCAAATTTACAAAGCATTATACCAATATTGACCAACATAATAGGTCGCTAACTTATGTCTACCTACTAAACGAAGACGTAAAAACGGGTCTTTTATTTACATATTATAAACCTCGAAAGAGGTTTCATTTATTTAAATTAAAAAAATAAATTGTTTAACTGCGCGTTTATTCCCGTTTTGAAATGTTGGTAAAAAAATAGAATACCTATTGGAAAACAAGAAAATGGAAAGATAGAATAGAATCTTTTTAACTTTGTTTTGTTTTAATTATGTCAAACGAATTGTGTTCAAAGAATTATAAACAGTTTTTTTGAATAGATTACACTACTCAGTGTAGTGTACTTTACTTACACGATGTCACTATCACCTTTTTTTTTTGGTGACTCTAATTTCACTAACTTGGCACATGGGACTTTTTACTTATGTCTCAGGGTGACGGGCGGAGACGCAGTGCACCTCAGTTCTTTGCGATTTAAAAGCTCTAAGTGGCTCTGCAACTTATGGACAGACATGTCGTTTAACATCAGGCGCACGACTTCCCATCACGTAGTATCATAAAAAAAAACCTGTAGAATGTATACAAATCACAAGGCAGAATATCGATATCCCTGTGTAGGTATATACTTATTTAATTGAGTGTGTAACTAAATTAGGTAAGTAAAATAGTTTTTTCTCAACATTTGGTTATATTTTTACCTACGTTACTTGCGATACGAGTACAATAAAATTTAACTGTCGAAAAATTGCTTATAATTTTGTTTTTCAATTTTGAAGAAAGTGCAAGTTGACCCCGTGTTTCAGAAAGTGAAAATCTTATGTTTCTTCATGAAACAGCGTAATGTTTAATGATTATGAAACCTTTATAAGGCATTTCTATCATTAATTAAAGTAAATAATTTATGCACCATGACTTTCCAAAATTTTGGACTTTTATTGATTTTGCACACAAATCTGTATCAGTTGTTTATCAATCATAAAAGTTATTTAAAGTATTGTGTGATTTTCTAAAAGTTGTTTTTATTTTAATGATAATGCTGATAGTGTTACGAGGTTTCGGGCCTTAACTCCTACAATTGCGCCATTAAATGACGAGCAATACGATTGTGGTTTAGTACCACAAAAAAATATTTTCTTTTCATTGTATATGCGGTTGTTTAAAGTAGCACGCGTGCTTCTTACTCATCAATCAATCGGAGGCAGAGAACTTTTGAAAAGTTCCTTCTGATTTGGCAATATTTCTTAGTTTACCTACTTAGCCATGAGTTGGTAACATTGCATTAAAGTCGCTTTTTCGTTTTCAAAAAACCTGTTTGCACTTTGTGCTTTAATGTTGATTTTCAAATATTCGTTTTGGCGCCAAATTTCAAGTGGTAGTATGTAATTACGTTTCACACGGGATCCTTTATAATTTTCATTTATCAACAAAGGGTACATTCCTCATTGTGGTAAGAAACTCTAAAATAAATTCAAAAAAAAAAACAAAAATTCTAAAATAAATGAAGAACTATGCCCGCGAGACTATTTAATTAAGTAATTTTGCAAACCACATAGAACTACACGGAAAAAATGACGTTTATTACTATAACCGAACACCACTTTTTCAGGGCATGTTTAATAAAAAAAAATTTCTTATTTACGTTTAAGGCTATTCAGATCAAATTTAAGGATAACAGATCCAAAATAATTTATAAAATCGTGTTTCGTTATCACCAGCTAGCAGTTACGTAGTAACAGCAATTCATAATTTTATTGCAATGTAAAATATTTGTTTCTTAATAACTCGAAAACTACTTTGTCTAATCTAATGCCATTTAGACACTTTGATAGTTAAGCTTAAAGTTGTTCATATCTTAATGTTATTGGGTATATTAAGCGAGAAAGATCAACATCTACGGTAATTAGGTTGAGAACACCGAATGTGAGAATAGCCGATCCATCGATATTTTTATTTCGGTTTTTGGGTTATCAATATGTGTCTTCACACCTAATTTCATGGCAATAAATGCATAAACGAACAAGTGAAAGAGCTCTAGCATACATACCTACAGCCGGACAAACAGACAATCACGAAAATATAAGTGTCCTAGTCCTTAACTATGGATCTCTAAAAACTACCTTTCAATCAAACAGAAGCCCTCGTATGAAACATTTCCCCATCACGAACCACACACCGCCATCTCCGGGCGTGAATCCGTTTTTTGTGTCCCGTTTGTGTCAAGCAGTGTAGCTCTGTAGGGCAGTATGTTGCTACCACGGCGTGCCACTGTGGACGAAAGCAGGCCACTCCCACCGCGTCGAATGGTGGGAAACTTACCTACTTTATGGTTCAATTGGTTTATGGCCATCGTGCCTTCTATAGTCATATGGTTCGGAGAAAAGTTATTTTACGATTTTATCTCCAACGATGGGGTAACGATTTCAGAAGTGAAAATTGCATTTTAGTAGGTTTCTTTACGGTTTAGTTGCTCTGTTATGAGTGGGTTTTCCTTTTTACGTATATTTACTTCATTAAAAGTATGCCTGTAGATTTGAGTTTAGCGTGCAGTTACCTGAGTACTAGATACAGTATTTAATCACGGTTCGTGGACTTTTCTGTTATACGAATAGATACAGTCAACAACAAGTGGCTAGTTATCCAGATCACATTATTACAACTTAACAGTTGACAAATAATAGTATGTTCATACATATAACCAAACAGACTTTATTACATAATCGTACATGCCGAAAGGTCACTAATACAAATAATATGACCGCGATATTGTACGTTGCGGTGATTATTCTTACAATACAAACATACATGATCACGAACTTCACATCCATGCATACGCGGTAACGTACCACTAAAAATGTATCGACCAAATGAGGTTTATTAGGTCAGGTTAGGTGCTAATCCACTACACTGTCTTCGGAACGAAAAAGGGCACAACTGACACTTTTTTTCAAAATGGATTTATTTACTTTTACTCGGTATCAGAAAAAACAAGTCTACAACCCTAATTTTTTGGAGAATTCTATTACAATGATTGTTAGTTTCAGAGTAGCAGTAGAGCTCCTTGTGAAAGATTCGCCCAGGAAACTGCTGCCACTTTACCTATTTCCGCCGCCAAGTAGTAACTATTCCGTGCATCAGGTACTGCTTTACGGTTTTGAAGGGTAAAGGTGCTGGTGAAAGTATAGGAACATGGGACTTATCAACTTATGTCTTATGCTGACGGACACAGTGGCAGTGCCCCTCATATCTTTGCGATTTAATGTTTTGAATACCACTGCAGCTGCTATGGGCAGGCGTGCCTCTTACCATCAAACGCACGTCTTCTCACTTGGTATTGTAAAAAGTAAGCTTAGGAGGCAGAACTGACATTAATAATAGCATTTTCTATCTCAAAAATAGATAATTGGACTTAATTAAGTTACAATGTTAATAATATCATATAAATAGTTTACTACATGAAACCTAGTTTACACGGCCATTCTCAAAATATCAAACAAAACCTCAATCGTTTATACTTTATTTTTAATTTAACCTCGTTTACAATTTATTTTTAAATTTTTAAGTTTTATTTTCAAGATTTTACCCATGCTGCTTAATTATCACACTTACTTGGCCTATTCCACTAGTTCCTACCAGCTGTCCTCCCTTATTTTACAAACCCGTTTTCATCTCCGATTACCGTTACCTGTCACTGTGCCATTCAATCATAATCATATAAAAATATAACCCACCACGACCATTCATTTTAAATCTAGGTAACCACTGAAATGCACAAATCGTCCGCTATTTCTGTTCATACAGTTAGTTTTTTACAATTTAGGTACAAAAGCTCTAACTATATACTGACTTCTATTGTGGTCTGTACTAACTTTAATTGATTTATTTTTTAATTCAAGTAATTTTATCTTTCATAATATGTTACAAAAATGAGAAATTGTACAAGTTATATGAAAAAATACACATATACCGTTTGTTTGTTGACAGGTTTACCTACTAATAAAAAAAAATTCGTGGTTGAAAACGATAAGACAAGGTACTTACATAAATATGTGAAGTCATTTAAATTGATAAGAATATTATTACTTTTTTAACCATTTATTAATTTTTATCATTATTACACATGTCAGTACTATGAACCTAACCAAACATATGTACCTACACAACATCTTCCAGGCTCCACATGTTGGCTCAGCCAAAACTGAGTGAAACCATCCAACATTATAATGTAATATAGATTTTAAGACTTTCGTGGTTATTCACTAAATGATTATCACTAATATCAGGTTTCTTACCACGGTATGACTTCTGAAGTCATCATTATAATGTAATGTTTTGTCAAATCAAACTGTGCAAGCAACCGCACCAAGGATAGATCCCGTCCGAACATATTCGATGAGCAAATTAATGATGTCACATTACATTTATAAAAATGTAATTTATGTTAAGAACCATAGTATTTTTTTATAAAAAATACTTTAAAGTAATACAAGGAAAAAATAAACTGGCTGCTTTTGACGTTGTCTTCATAAATTCAGCTAAACGGCAATGACGCTTCTGATAATAAGATTCCAGTTGATATTCAAAATTAGCCATCCACGACACTTGAAACTATAGTGAAACAAAAACTTTATACTAAAGGTTAATACAGCTTCTGCGTAATTGTATCACAAAAATCCGTAGTAGTGACGATGTTTGAAATAAATATTGTAAATGAGAGAGTTTCTGCTTCGTTTTTCTCAGGGGAATCTGCCTTACGAATGAATGAGCAATAGAGTTTAATTAATATGACGTTTTCAAGCGTAAGTAATCTGCTTACCTATGCAATAAAGATTATTTGAGGTTTGAGATAAGAATATACTTACATTTAGCTATAACAAGAGTGGTGACCGCGAGTAGCAGGGCGAGCGAGCGCCAGGCGTGCGCTGCCATCCATGCGGCCCATTCACGACCTGCAACCAGACAACCTTATCACTGCATTGCCATTGCATCTTAAATATAACAAAATCTCCTACATATAAAAATAAGCACAATTTATTGTAACATATATATAGGTACAGGGTCAAGAGCACGTCAAGCTTGACACTTAAGATTTCAATCCAGCTCTATGCCGCTTACGATAAGAACGATTCAAAATACAAAATGTCAAGCTTGACGTGCTCTTGACTGTACCCTTTTTAGCGAAAACGAATCAAGATCTGTCAACAGTCTACGTAGTTTTTGCAAAGCTCTATAAAATATGACATTTTAAACACAGTTCTACACTCTGTTATTTTCTTCTTTAATCAGCAACTTCACTAGGTCAATGTAGTGAATATATTATATTCTTTTAATCCCTACATTGTGTACACATTATTTTGGGACTATCAATGTTTGAAAAATATTGAAAAAGAACAAAATGGTATTTGATTTCAAGCTTATTTGATAATTGATATCTGAGTTGAGAGTGCGATTCTAGTTTCGACGTTTATTATTTTAATATGCGAATGGCAATTTCCTGCCTCCTCATAGCGAGAGTGCATTGGCATTATTCAGGTGTGCATGCTACATCGTCGACTTCATCGTCACTTTCCATTAGGAGATGCGCACTTATATTTTAAAATAAAACAAACTTTATGAAAACTTTACGTTTATTCGGTGTCCCTGTGTATACTTCGTTACAACACTTTTATACTTAATAAAAAAAAACAAATGTTGACAATTAGTTTTTTATTACTTACTAATAATAAAAAACAAGTTATCTACAGATGTAGATGTAACAAGATTGTTACTATTATTATTTTTTATTAATCACGTTATTTCATTATGCATGAAATAACTATCTTTCATGCATGATCAAATAATGTGTACTTCCAGTCTTCAAGAATTCACGATTCAAGTTTTAAGTTTTGTCCCTGGCGCATGGCGTTATCAATCGTAATCACACAGAATTAAATTAATTTTTTAAATATACGATGAAAATGGGATAAATCAATTTAGGGGTTCGTTTTACATTACAGACAAATTGGAGGTTTTTTAATGTTAATTATAAATATATTAGCCATTACCATTTACAAATTTAGGGACAACCGAGTGTCGGTATGAGTTAAGCTTGTGTAGGTCTGTACCTAGTCGAGAGCAAATTCAAAAGGGCTTTATAGCTACAAATAAGTGCGTAAGTATGTTTTTGAAGTCAATATTCAATTCAATTGCCTTATACAAGCGTAAAATGTCTGTTTTAGTAGCAGTAGAGCTCCTTGCGAATGAGTTCGTCCAGGGAAGTACTGCCACTTTACCTATGTCTGCCGCCAAGTAGTAATGTGAGCATTACTACGTTCCGCTTGAAAAGTAAGGGTGGTGGTGAAATTACAGGCACATGGGACTTTTCAACTTATGTCTCAGAGTGGCAGGCGCAATGGCGGTGTCCCTCAGATCTTTACGATTTAAAGCTCTGAGTGACACTGCAACTGCTATGGACAGGCGTGTCGCTTAAGACCAGGCACTTGACTTGTTCGTCCCCTTATTTGTTATAATAAAAAAAGTATGCCATGCGAAAACGCATACGTCGACACGAACGCTTTTGTTTTTTGGTCAAAAATTAGTGAGAAAGCATGTCTCCCTTGCCAAACTCGGGCTCACCAGTGTTTTGTATGAATTTGGACATATAGAAAGGTAATAAATTTAAATACCTGCGTATGATGTATGCAAAAGTTATAGAATACTACTTTGGTGTCACCTACATGCAGGCACGTGCGCACACGTCCGCATTTAATTAATCGCATCGTGTTGGAACATATACCAAGATCATGCACTTAAATGCCTACTCACATATAAATTGTTTGTCAGAATAGACACGTTCATAGTATACAAGACAAGAAATAAAACCTTATAAATATTCTTTGTACTACTTGTACAATTTGTACATGTATTTTACCAAAAGGTAATATTATAACAATAGAGAAAGTTCAAATAGAATTGGAAAGCTTGGAGCAGGTGATACTGGTACCAGTAGGTGACATCGAGATTTCATCTAAGTAAAATTGGCAAAGTCAGTAAAATCAAAACATTATTTGTTAAAGCAAACATGTCGTATGGCCTCTTTAACATGTGACATCTATACGGAAAATTACTTAAAGTAATGACGCGTAAAAATGTAATATTATAAATTTATTTTGGTTATGTAGGCGTGACAATTTTGCCGCTTATTAAGAGGGGTCCCCATGGTAAAAGTTATTAATTTTCATAAGTACAATCGCCTCTTGTTTATCCCGTAACCAAAGAAACGCACTGTATAATAACTTTTAAGGTACAAAGAAGTAGATACGATTTCGCAGGACCTCTCGTTTTAAAATCAATATAAATAAATTCGACTTCCTTAAATTCTTTTATAATTGCTTTTATAAATGGACGGGCGTATCGCTTACCACCAGGCGCACGATTTGTTCGTCCCGTCACTTGATATCATAAAAAAACACTTTAAAACACAACATTTAATTATGTTCGTACATTTACTGTTTCCTTCAGTTCATAAACTTGTAATAAAAAAAAATTTGTCGGAATACTATTAAGTTTGGCGTAAATGGAAATGATGTATAAACTTGCCTAATGCATAAAAATATTTAAAAATCGAAATAAAAAGTTAAGCTTTTGTTATAGTGTAACTGTATAATAATTTGTGTCGGAAAACTTACAGAATTCTTGTGAGTGTGTTCTAGGATTTTACTTGTGATTTGAGGAAACCTAATGTACTTACTCGCCTGTATTCGCACCGTTACCCCTTTGTTCTTTGTCACAGACGACTTAGTTTTTGCATTGAAAACAATCGGTCTATTATAAAGTATATTAAGCGCTAATTTCCTGGTTAATAATCCAGTTGCTGACGCCCTGGTATAGCGGCAATAATGCGTTGTGAAACAAGACTTCGTTGCTGTAAGTGGGTACTTATCAGTAGACACCGGCTATGTTCTATGAATGTTAACAATCTTTATTGTATCACGGGCTGTGTCTAATGTGAAGTTGGTAATATGATTGTATTAAAGCGATCACACGATAATCGATTTTTAGATATGAATCCATGGGGGTTTTCTTATATATTAACAAGAGCGGTGTTAGTACTTATATACTAGGTGTAATAAAGTGTAGTTTATGCATGATTGCATTGACTTGATTGGCATAATAATCATGCCTCGTGAAGTTACAATAGAACCAAACTAAATGAAATATTAATGTGTTTTAAATCACATTGTAGCAATTTTTGCTCGTCCTTATGCGTTTGTGTTAACAAAAAAGATCGATTTAAATAAACGTTTGCACCTATTTAAAAATATTTATAGGTAGTGTCGTGTTTCCGACACTCGAGAGAGGTGTTTAACATTTGTATAGTAGGTATACATAGCATTACACAAGAAACTTATTAATACTTATTTACTATTTATTTATTACTTATAGCACAGATAATACAATACTATACTATAATACTAGCTATACTAGCTTATAGTATGAAAATATAACGAGTTTTCTACAAACGTTTTGAATAAGCCTTTATAGCTTGTAGCTTGTGGCTGTAAAATTTTGTCCTTAAGTTGTATAGTAACATGCTAGTTTTTAAGTGCCGTGTTTACTGTGCGTTAAATATGGTTAGAATAGTAATTATGATTTGTTACTTTATAACGAAAATCTGAGAAAATTACGTATTTCCCATTTATTAGAACAAGAAATAAATAATGTCAAACAGCTATTAATTGACCTTCTAAATTAATGCCTATCTATAATTAAAGAAAATAGGTTTACAATGTAAGCGTCAAACATTAACTCGAATTTATTTGTAAGTCAATGCTCGAATTCTATTAAAATTAGAGTTTTTTCATAAAAAAAACAAGTGCGCACTTGACGTCCATCTCACCTGATGAAAAGTGACGACGAAGTCGACGATGTAGCATGCACACCTAAATAATGCCTATTCTCTCTCGCCTTGAAAAGTCTCAAGTTATGGCGTTCGGGGATACGTCTGCAGACAGGGAATTCGACTTCTCAATCCTTCGTCACATAAATGTGGAAGCTGAAAGTGAATGACTTTAGAAAATACTGTACCTTAGCATTTTTTTTATAAGTTTATTCATAAGAATTTTCTCTTATAAGTAGTTTTTATACAAGTTATACATATGTATGTTATGTATACGCTATAATATACACAATATCGAGTGCAAGGTGCAGCCATTGCAATAGGGTAATTTTAGCGAAAGGCGTGGACGAACTCGCTCGAGGTCGCTTTATTTAAGGCCACAATAACACATCTATAAGTAGTGGTACTTATGGTCTACAAATAAATGTTAATATTTAAAACATATCGTATCATTAAATCATTAAAATTAAAAATAAGCGATTTTTATGATGTCAAGTGACGGGACGAACATATAACGACACGCATTTCGGTGATAGTTGCAGAATAAATCGTAAAGATCTGAGGGGCACTGCCACTGCGCCTGTCACCCAGAGGCATAAGTTGACAAGTCCCACATGTGCCTGTAATTTCACAAGCATCCTTACCCTTCAAAACCGGAACGCAGTAATGCTTACATTGCTGCTTGACGGCAGAAACATTACGTAAGCTAAGTGTGAGTTGGTAAGCTTTGGAAAAGATATGAAAATGGGGTAGAGTTTTTAAGAGTAAAATGTTCTAGGACAATGTAATTAATGCTTACTCAAACAAATTGCTTAGGTATTGGTTAAATCCAGTGGCCTGAAACTTGTTGCACTGCAATTTAGCCTAGTTTTTACAGTTCACCGGTTCATAGCAAAATAAAACTGCATATTGTTCCGGCAACTTAACTCGTCAACCGGGGCAAAGTTGCTATCAGTAATGAATGATTGTCTCAACTTCTAACAGTTTGTTTTTTTTATATCAGGTCAGTATGCACCATTGTTCTATTGTGCTAACTCCAGTATTACCTAGTTTTAAAAACATTAATAGTTC